AAAATGTATATGTGAACAAGACCCCGTTATACTCGTAGTTGTGATTTCTTCAAACCTGATTGTAGTGTCATGATCAAACCGAAATATTGAATTTACATTCATTTCATAAATAAATCTAGCAATTGCACGAACATTATAAAATCATATTGGCTTAACGTCAACATACGCCTTTAGAAATGATTTCATTTGTTGCCCTCTGGTTTAATAGACAAATATTTTGACAACAAATAGACGATCAAATTAATTATTAAAATTTGACCTTTTGGTCACAAAGGATTAAATTTGTGAAATATAAATATAAAAATTCATATTTCATATTTTACTTCCCGATACTAAACTGTATATTCAACACTTGCTCATAACTTGTTAGTATTTTCTTAAATGAATTTGTGGTGATTGCGGTGACATTTCAGAATGTGGTATTTAAGATATGTGTTCTGAACAGAGTTTAGTCAAACCATGTTCCTGATCAGGGTATATATTAATATATATATATCCCTGTCCTTATGTGACGCTCATTTTTATTTTGATCTATTGCTTTTTCCTTATAATATTCTACATCTATAAATGATTTTAGTCTAAAAAAAATAATATGTTCAAATATTATTAAGACCAATACTATTATGACATTTGTGTGCTTAGCTAGTCATTGTAATGTAAATGTGTAATTTAATTATGATTTTCTTAATGCACACTTGACCAAGTCGTATTAAAGTGCTCGACACATAAGTCAGTACATACTGGGGCGCAATGTTTTCTTTCTTCATTGCTACTGAGTTCTAAATATGAAGAAGAAGAAGAATCTTTATTTTGCAAATTAACTCTCAAAAGAGTCATGTACAAGCATTCATAATATATACAATAACATGTATGCATAAGTAAATAACTAATTACATAGCAAGATGACGTGACGTGACTGCAAGTATTTCTTTCCTTTCATTATTATAATGGTTACCATTGATTATATATTTAATTTACAAGTTATTTACTTTTTGAGAGATTCTACATTCAAATATATAATAATAAGAAATACTTCGTGTATGTATTAGGCTTGCAATCACGGGAGAGACATTGTCAGCATCTATTACATAGTATACTTTTAATTCTCTTCCATACACTGGTCTTTGTATTACATTTACTAATCTAAGCTATATGGTTTTGATTTATTGCAATAGTAATATGGCACAAAATATTGAAATTATACAAACAAAACAAAACAAATGTTACTTCTAAACTATACTTTGAACACATATAATGCTTCAAACTTGATACAAGTAAGACCAGTGTATTTATAGCCTTTATAATCATCGTGTTACTTAACCTATTATACATATAATACACAAAGAATTGCAATGTATCAATAATACATCTATATACAATTACATGACAGCTAATATTCGTACGTTACACACATAGAAGTACAATACAATGTGTCAATTAACTTCTATGTACGTTTGCATGGGACTAGATATTCGGTTTGCATAAAACATATATATAGAACTTTAAATTAAACATTTTTTGTACCTTTACACAAGAATTGTTTGTAACTGTTGTCTAATATGGAAGGCATGGTATATAAACATAGCTAAATTTCTAATATCATGTACATTATCGCTTGTAACCAACTGAACAAATTTAAACATGCTAGGAAACCTCCAGTAATATTTCTTTAAAAATCTTGTTCGGAGTTCCTGATAAATAGGACATATAATGACAAAATGGAACTCGTCCTCTAATTGATTACATGCTACACAGACTCTATCATTTAAAGGTACACTGTGGGGTTTTCTCCATCTACCCACCTCAATTTCTAGACGATGAGAAGACATTCTTAAACGTGACAAAGCTATTCTATACTTTTTAATATCAACAATATCTAAATATCTACTAAAACTGAAATCATTAAAAGTATGGTAAAATAGTGCTCTGGAAGAATTACTGATTCGAGCATTTAAATCCTGTTTCCATGTGTCTCTAACTCTCTGGTTAAATACATTAAGAAAAATTTTAACATGCGGAACTCCTTGGTTTTTGCCATACATTGTTAAAACCTAATCTAGACAATAATGATCTTACGTTCGAAACCCAATTTATTTTCCTACTATTATTTTCACAATCTGCTTTTAATAGTAAATATGCATGTTTAGTATACTTGTTGTCTTCTGACATACACAATTTCAACCAATATCTGATTATTGAACATAATCTGTAAACTTCTAGATTAAATCTGCCCAGTTCACTATATACAAAATCATTTTGAGTAGGTATCTTAACACCAATTAACGTTTTACAGAAATGCAAAAATGTTCGTTCTATCTGTATACCTTTGTAAAAATCCCAGACTTCTGAGGAATTACACAAACTTGATAAAATCAACTTATCAAAAAGATCTAAATGGTGTTTTTAAATTTATATACATATTTATTCATTTTTTATGTTCCTTTTAGACTTGTCCTGATTACATTATATCTTGTTCTCTAAATGAACCACCTGTGCTAAACAAAGTTCCTAAGTATTTAAATCTTGATACTATTTCGATGAGACTGTCTTTGTACATAAATTCTAAATTTCGAAGTAACAATCCAATTTTTCAAAATATCATTACTTTTGTCATATCAACATTTACTGTTAGCTTCCATCTAGTATCACAATATTGAGATAAGATGTCCAAGGCATCTTGTTAACCTTCAGTCGTTTTAGAGTAAATAGTTATATCGTCCGCGTACAGTAATAAACATATCTTAAAAATACCAGTATCTATGCCCTCGACTCCTTTAGCTAAAAACACATCTTCAAGATCATTCAAATACATGCTAAATAAAAATGGGGACAGGCTCTCACCTTGTCTAACTCCTAAATTACAAGTAAAAGCTTCACTAATATTATCAAAATGTTTAACTCTTGAGGAAATGCCTTCATACATGCTCTGTATAACTTTGAGAATATTACCAGTCACTCCGTATTTTATTAATTTGTACCACAGTACATCTCTAACTACGAAATCAAAAGCTTTTTTAAAATCAACAAAAGCTACATATAGCTTTTCATTTTTGTTCAAACAATGTGAAATAAGAGCATTTAAAATAAAAACATTATCAACAGTACCCATATTTTTTCGAAAACCTGCCTGGGCCTCTACATAAACACCATAGGATTCAGCCCAGTTATCTAATCTAGTATTCAATATTCTAGTAAATAATTTTCCGAGAGAACTTAACAAAGTAACACCTCTATAGTTCGATGGTTGATCAACATCACCCCCTTTATGTATTGGTACTATATAACCTTCACTCCATACATTCGGAAAATGTCCTAATTTCAAACAAGCATTGAACAATTTATGCAAATATGGTAACAGATCATCAACTCCATGAATAAATAATTCGTTCACATACAAATCAGGTCCAGCCGCTTTATTGCAATATGTAATATGTAACACAACATCCCCGTGCTTAGTTCAATGATGAGACGGAATGAATAGGTCTTTATGACAAAAAATAAATAAATAAATAAACCATCTTATACACTTAAACAAAACGTACAATCAATTTTATGAAGTTTGATGATCAGGTTAATAGGTCCCCGTTGGTCCTTGGAAATATCCTTTAGAGTTTGATGGATTATCCGTGTAGGGTCCCCGTTTGTCCTTGGAAATATCCTTTCGAGTTTGATGGATTATCCGTGTAGCCATAGATCGCTTAAAATCATATTATTTATTCAACGTTTATTCTATTTACTTTTTTCAATCTAATAACTTTGGTTCTTACGTTCTTACCTCTTAAAAATAATTAAAAATCGATTCTTAACTAAATAGATAAATCTAGAAATAAACCATTAGTTTTAAGACTGGGATTTTGAGTTATCTGCCCCTGAATTGGGCTTTTTGCATAAATCAGGGACACAATTTACAGTGAAGGCAAACAATACCTGTTTTTAGCTTTATAATTTAAATGCGTAAATATAGATCATAAGATGAGGCAATATTGTTGATAAACATCTAAATCAGTTTAAAATCCAAATAATGTTTCACGACGTTAGTAAAAAAAATAACTATCTAAACAAACTTATAGTAACTGATGATATTATAAGATACTGTAAACACATGATAAGCGTGTGGAAGATAGTACAACTTTGTATCAAACATTACAATATTAGTATCGAACATTACAATATCAATATCATACATTTCAATATTAGTATCAAACATTACAATATTAGCATCAAACATTACAATATAATTAGGTATCGCGAACATTACAATATTAATATTAAACATTACATATTAGTATCAAACATTACAATATCAGTATCGCGAACATTACAATATAAGTATCGATAGATGTTTGCTGCAATGATCTGATTCATGAGACCAAAATAATTCTACACAATTTGAAATAAGATGTTCAAAGATGAAGAAATGTTACAATCTTAGAAATGATATACTGACTTATATATAACGTAACATATTAATAATTGTCAGCATCCTTCCATAGTGTGCTACAATTAAATGCAGAGCCACAAACAAAACTTAACTTTGCATAGAAATGTAAAACAAAAATAAGACAAATTATTATAGTTTTCACTGATTTTGATTCTGCTGGAAAGATGATTGTAATAAACAATCAGTAGGTACGCCACTGTCTGTCTCATTTTTCTTATCTTTATATTTGGACGGATACTCCACCGCCGCTGCGATGAATGGCACTAACACTAACTGAATTGTAAATAATTTCATTAATTTTTATTGTACTGTGATCTGTGATAATACAAAAAATAAAATAAAAAGTAAAAGTAAATTCGAAATAATTTTGTGAATAATAATAATGTTCACCGCAGCAGTTCACGGACTTTAATAATAACTACCAGTATATTAAAATTACTCAGTAACGTCTAATTAAGTGCACTCTAGTAATAATAAACGGAAATAAAGTGCTGAAACTGATTCAATGATTCTGTTTTTTCCTTTAAAGAAATAATAGCATGCATGTATATTTAATTACAGAAAAGCTATTACAGCAACAACACCTGGTTGCTAAGGAAGCTTACATTCGGAACGCTCGGTTTTCTTCGGCATGGAGTACTAGACCAGGTGTGTTTACATTTTGTATAATTTATTTTTGGAATTTAATTGTTTTTTAAAACGGTGAATTGCCGATGGAATTTTCTTAATATGTAGAAGATGGTTATTTGTTAAACCTGAATACCTGATGACTTTACTTTTTTTACATAGAATCATTAGTCGTTCAATTTTAACCAAGGGAAGTAACTTGGTTTATAACTGACTAAAAGTACATTAGAAGCTGAGCTATGTAAAATACATATTTGATAGAGTGATTTGATAAATGAATATTTCTCAATTACATGTTCATTTTATTATACATTTTTCAACCTTTAATTGTTAGGAAACTGTTTTTGAGCTAATAATTTCTACTGTAATTCACAAATGTTTATGCAATTATTATTATAATACAAGAAAGTACTGTAATGTAGAACTAACTGCAAATAAAAACATTTGCGAAATAAATTTAATTTATATGTAATTTGGCGTTTTCACTGCTAAACCACAGGGATATGGCACATTGAATGTTCATTAAAATAAATCCGATTGCAAATGCCCTCAGGTTACTCAGCTGTTAGTCTCAATATTTCGACTGCAAGACCGACCGTTTTTTCATAGATGTCTGTCTTTTCGAAGGGCGACCATCGTCTATATAATAAAAAGCCCTAAAGCCAACAATTTGTTGGGTGTTGGGCTACTCATCTGTAACCCTGCTGTCCAACCTAGATAGCAAAGTATTGACTGTCTCACTAACTCAACAAATTGTGCGTCAGGGTTTTTACTTACATACATTATGGCAGCCCTTAAAGACCTACATCTATGTAATATTAGTTTGTAAAATTGGTCATTATTGCAGTTGAGAAAAGCTGGCCTTTACCACTGAAAGCCTCAGCTCAGCAAAACAGGGATCTTCTGGTGGTGACTAAAGAATCAGTATAGATTAATAGTGCCTAATACAATGTATGAATGATTTTGATACTGAACAGGTCACTGATCAGTGTGAGTCTGTACTGGCGACATAGGCAAAACATTATTCATACAAGTATGCTGAATGGGACACGAAATGCCCATGCATGTTCAAATTTGTGCTGGCTTTATAATTTTGTAATTTTGTATTTACTTACTAGATTGATATGTGTGTGTCCCCGCTGCGCCCAGGGTTTGACATTATTGGGAGATAAATTAACAGACAATTTAATTACATTAGCCATACTTAATTTATATTAATTAGTTTAATTTCTCAAGAAGCTATATGTTTATAAACATACTTCTGATTCTGTTCCTGGAACCAGCGAGTACTATGAAATAAGTGTAAAGTTTCTTGTTTAAGAAAACAACAGCTTGCCCCTACTAGGGTTTGAACTCACATGGTCAGAAAACCTAAGGCTATATCGATAGTTGAGTGCACAACTGTTATAAGTCCTTCCTTATTTCATATAAGTTACTACAGTTTTGCGATCAACCCTCGAATTAGGTGTTAACTTTTCACAGCCATGCCACATATTCAATCAGATATGTACATGACTGCTGCATGAATTACTGTGTCAATGTATTTTTCAAAAAATTCATCTCATGTTATCATCTTTCCTGTTTTGGCGCCATGTGACCTAAATTGTTATTGGTGCGCTGTAAATCCAAACAAAACATCTCATCTTGTGATATGGCATGTGATATATGTCACAGTATATTACAAAAAATGTAGATATTGACTAGCTCAGTTATTACAGATTATGATATATGAAACAGTATTTCATTGGTGGCATCGTCTTGGTTAGAGGCTGCAGATATTTCTGATTTTGTGACAAAAATTATTATACTTAAACCTGCTTTTTTACTTTCCAAATTATCAATTATCGATTTTAGCGATAATATTTCCCAAAATCAAGTGGCTAAGGCCTCTTCCCAATTAAGTTAGAGAAATCACTGAACTTAATTCCAATACCCTTCGAGGTAGTGCTTTGAAACTTTGTATGAAATTCTTGTTTGTGACCAATATTCTTGCTTCGAGGCAAGAAAACATAACTATGCCCCTTTTTTACTCAAAATTTTGATTTAGTTTTTGGTACCACCCCACTTATTCCTTATAGGCTTTAAGGTTTTGCTTTGAAACTTTAAATACTTGTTACTGAGCATCATCCCCACTTACAGGCAAAAACTTATTATAGTAAAGCACAATGTCTTATAAGCAGCTCTTGTTGATACAGACTACTGGGGGAATATGTCCAACTCATTGTGTGTGTTGGGGGAGGGGGTTGGGGAGGCTCAGTGGGGATTTTACCAAATAACAGTCCTCACAGGGTTGAGGCGTTCCTGTTGGTTTGAATATTTAAGTCACAAGTCCTGGCATAGTCCCTGGAGGGTGCCCTGGCATAGTCCCTGAAGGGTTGCCTGGCATAGTCCCTGGAGGATGCCCTGGCATAGTCCCTGGAGGGTGCCCCGGTATAATCCCTGGAGGGTGCCCTGGCATAGTCCCTGGAGGGTGCCCTGGTATAGTCCCTGGAGGATGCCCTGGCATAGTCCCTGGAGGGTGCCCTGGCATAGTCCCTTGAGGGTACCCTGGGATAGTCCCTTGAGGGTGCCCTGGCATAGTCCCTGGAGGGTGCCCTGGCATAGTCCCTGGAGGGTGCCCTGGCATAGTCCCTAGAGGATGCCCTGGCATAGTCCCTTGAGGGTGTCAATGGTTAAATTTGGTTAGTGCATAAAAAGGTGAAAATCTTGAATGATTTCATGTTCATGCCTGTGTAAAATCTGTAAGTTCTCATTAATGTTTTTCAAGTTTCTTTACACATTTGTGAAGAAATATCCCTTATCTAGAAGATAGTTAATATTTATGTAGATTTTAAAATACTGACTATTCAAAACTAAGATGGAATTCAATTAGATTTAAAATTTGTATTAGATTTGTGTTATACTTATTCTTAATCCCCTTCATACACGAATAGGACACAAAATATTCTCTTCGGTACTATATAGTTATGTTGAACTTAATTATTTTGTAGGACAGTGTATTAAAATTAAATCTCTGAAAATTTCCAAGGTTTGTGCAATTAATTTGTATTAGTCTTTGAACAAATATCAAAAGATTCTATATTTTAGCTATCATTTTGTATTTATTTTCATTTGATATAATATAAGTTCATCGATGTCTGTGTGTTTTTTTTTTTCAAATAATTGTTATGTTAAAATTGATATAAAAAAAGTGAACAGTAAAACATGGTCCATAAAATTCATTATGTTTAAAGCCAAACATGATTTTTAATGAAAGAAGGTTTTGTAACAGTACAAAAACCATTGGTAATTGAAAGTTTCATAGGCTAGTTCTCTATTGAACATTTTTATTTAACTATTGGGATTTGGCCTTGAAAAGTCACTGATCAATAGTCATTTCTGTTAAGCCTTTAAATCAATATAAGGTATAATATACATACATATAGGTAGAACGCTGTGACCTGTTTATTTAATTTCACGGTCCATATAAAGTACAATCATTAACTATAGTCAATGATTTCATGTCACAATTTAAGACAGGTCAACACGTGTTGTCTATATTTAAAGGTACAAAATTTAAAGGTATAATTTCATTACTGTTTTTTTGTGTAACAAAAAGCATTTGCTAATATTTTGTTTTTAACAAAGCATGATTTTATGGGTGGAAACTTTTTGATATTATATAAAGTTCTTGTTTTCATAGAAAAAGAGTTACATTGAAAATTTAAAAAATAAACTTATAGTTAATAAGTATGCACATTAACCCAGGGATTTTGCTCATTTACCTAGGGAATGTGGCTATTAACCTATGAATTTTGCCTATTAACCTATGGAAGGGATTTATCTATTAACTTAAGTATTTTGCCTATTAACCTAGGGAAGTTGTCTTTGTTGGAATCTGATTGACATTGGATCAATTTATATTAAAGCATAATCTTAAAATCATATACTTAAATGCTGTTAAAAATAGTTGTGTTGATGAAGTTTCATAACACCTTGTTAAGTAAAAGACCATTTTTTCAGCTACATTGAGAAAAGATCTTTGTGATATATTTGAGAAATTTAAAAAATGTTGAAAAAACAACCTTACACATGATAATTGATTTTCAAGTTTATAATGGCCGCAGGTAAAAGGGTGAAATTCTTTTAATACCCTGGATACAAGAGTCTGTTCAAATCTTGGGGCAGTTGTCATATATTTTCTTGCTTTGCACAAAAAATATCCTATCACGTTGATTGAAGCATTGCAAAATGATGACATGTACTCCTGATTAGACGAAAAGATAACAATGCTATCATCTCTAAGTTCTTGTCCCATTATATTAAAAGACAGGGTTGAATCCTACCAAATTGAGTGAAATAGTATCCCTAAAGAAAGCCAAAATGGCAAAATTATTCATAATAAGCATAATTCAACATTTAACATTCATCATTTAATCATGGTTATAGTGAAATTTTGTATTTAGAAACATCTTTAAATGTGTTCATACGGTGGTTATCATGAAACCTTCAATGTGACACAGTAGTGATATTCCATGAAAAGCGGCGTATGGTCCCTGATTAAAATAATGCTTGTGCACTAAACAAGAAAACATTAGGTGTAACTGACAAATGAAATTTTGAAAGGGTATCAGAGGTTATGATGCCTACAGTTCACAGATAAGACGTCAAAAGACAAATTTAAAATGCAGGCAACATATCCTGAGGGTGATTAAACATTATTCAAGAAAGGAATACTGGAAACTCCAAGTAGGAAAATATCTTCTATGTATTATAAAACCAAAAAGTTGAGAAAGCAGTATGTGAACTAAGTTGCCTCTCTAAAATTAATTTTTGTTGTTATTTTGTAGGGTTTAGGAGGAAGAATGGTTTTTGACTTTATGAAAGAACTTAGTTGCTAAGCAACCCAGCAACATGTCGGAAGAAAAAACTATAACCCTGTCTATGGACAGGGAGGAGTCCCTTTTGAGAGGGTACATCCCACTGAACGCATTGGTAAGATTCTTTTCTTTTATTACTTAAATATTATCATTATCTTATGTTAATAGTTTTCATTTATAAATATTATTATATATCTCTATGCTCGACATCATGTTCAGGCATTTTTCTACACTTTTTACTTGTATTTCAAATATTTTTTTTCTAAAAGACTTAAAAGTGTTAGGTGAAGATGAAAAGCATAAATCCCAGTATTAAATAATCTTTCTATAGTCTATATTGCCTACTGAAGTTAAACCATGCAGCCTTTATTGTCAAATCATGCCTTTCTTTACTAAAACTAGCATACAGTATGAGGCCATAGATATGATGATTATGGGCTGAAGAAAATAACCTTTCGGCTGTTTTTGTTTTGACATTTTTTCAAGCAATTATCTTTGTTAAGTAACCCCATCCCCTCTTTTTAATCACACCCCCATTTTTACCATTTCTTTATGATAACTATAGAGATTTTGTAATTTCAGAGTGTGTCAGGAAAAGACAAGATTGAAAAGATTGACTTTGCTGGAAATGGTTACCTAACAGACGCTGCCCTACACTTGCTTAACAAAAACTCTTCAAACAAGGTAAAAAAAAGGGTTGTTCATGTTTTATTTATGCTCTTTGTTGCAATAGGGCAAAATGATTGCATTATGCATATAAATAAAACAGCAAATTTACAAAAAAAATTTAATTCTGATTTAACTTTTATTTCTTAATGTTGCTTGAAAACATGGGTTCACCATATACATGTATAAGTCATTAAAATGATCTTTTAGTCACTTTGTCATTCCAATGGAAACTATTTATATTTATTGTTAACCAGGTTTTCAACGAAAACAGGGTTATTGTAATGCCGAAGTCGGCGGGCTTTAGTTTGCTTTGGCCTATTCACACCAAACTTGGTGTATGGATAGGTTATATCAAGAGGCAGCTTGGGATTGCTACCCAGGTGTCTGTGATCAAGGTCAAGGTCACTGTTACTAAAAATAGAAATTTGGTTTCCACTCAATAACTTCAAGTTTTGCTTTTGGCCTATTTCACACCAAACTTGGTGTTTGATAGCCCTTATATCAAGAGGCAGCATGGGATTGCTACCCAGGTGTCTGTGATCTAGGTCAAGGTCACTGTTACTAAAAATAGATATTCAGTTTCCACTCAATAACTTGAGTTGCTTTGGGCCTCATTCACACCAAACTTGGTGTATGGATAGCTTATATCAAGAGGCAGCTTGGGATTGCTACCCAGGTGTCTGTGATCAAGGTCAAGGTCACTGTTACTAAAAATAGAAATTCAGTTTCCGCTCAATAACTTGAGTTTGCTTTGGCCTATACACACTAAACTTGGTGTATGGATAGCTTTATAGCAAAGAGGCAGTGCTTAGGAATTGCCTACCCAGGTGTTCTGTGATCAAGGTCAATGTCACTGTTACTAAAAATAGAATATTCCGTTTCCGCCTCAATAACTTGAGTTTGCTTTGGCCTATTCACACCAAACTTGTTTATGGATAGGTATATATCAAAGAGGCAGCTTGGGATTGCTACCCCAGGTGTCTGTGATCAGGTCAAGGTCACTGTTTACTAAAAATAGAAATTTGGTTTCCACTCAATAACTTGAAGTTTGCTTTGGCCTATTTTCACACCAAAACTTGGTGTAATGGATAGCTTATATCAAGAGGCAGCTTGGGATTGCTACCCAGGTGTCTGTGATCTAGGTCAAGGTCACTGTTACTAAAAATAGATATTCAGTTTCCATTCAATAACTTGAGTTGCTTTGCTTAGTGACACCAACTTGGTGTATGGATAGCTTATATCAAGAGGCAGCTTGGGATTGCTACCCGGGTGTCTGTGATCAAGGTTAATGGTAATTAGTTTTCGATGTTAAACTTTAGTTTGCTCTGACCTTTTTGACACCAAATTTGCTGATGGCAGCTTTGGATTGCCACTTAGAATATATGGGAGCAAGGTCAAGGTAATTTGCTTAAAAATAGAATTTTCAGGCTTCTACTCAATAACTTCAGGTGCACTTTGGACCTATTGATTTGCTGTCACATCAAAAACTTGGTCGCTGAAAAACCTGGTTTTCGTCGCATTGCGGCGCTTCTTGTTTTATTCTATCTTACCAATGGAAAAAGCCATTTCATTCATCATAATTTACCATTGGAAAAGGTCATTTTACCATCCTATCTTAAAACAATAGAAAGATCATTGATACATCCAAATTTACCAGAAGAAACCATTATTGCTTCTTTTTATATAATGATGGAAAATTTTATTGATCCATTTTATCTTACCACTTGAAAAGTCCATTTGTCTATCCTAATTAAACAATGAAAAGACCATTGATTAATGGTAACTTGCCCTATCTTACCATTGGAAAAGACAATTGGTCCATCCCCTCCAGCCAATTAATAAGACTAATGATCCATCCTGTCTTACAATTGGAAAGGGCTATGAGCAGAATTAGCAGAGGCTATGTGTAGTGGCTGCTTTCTGTCTTTCAGTCCATTAAAAATTATCAACAATCAGATCTAAGTCTACTGTCGTAAAGTCATGGTTCTGGTGACAAATGTTCACAGTGGCATTTTAGTGGAAAATTCTGAATTTTAGCAGAAAATTAAGCTGTTTTGAGTAAGGGGGAATGGCCTGTTCTTTGCTATGTCTAAACTTATTTATTCTGTTTTACATGTAATAGCAGTTCAAAAACTTATAAAAGTACTAGATAACTATATATCCAGCAAAATTTCATTAATTGTTTAAAAGAATTGTTTCTTCTATTGTTATTATACAGGATATATTTGACCAGCTGAAACATGTGGATTTAATGGGCTGTAACCTAGTAACAGATCATGGCATCCAGGCACTTGTCCAGTGCATCCAGAATTCTACATTATTAACACAGGTGAGTGTGCTGGTGTCATGGCTTTAGTATCTGCCACTAATACACCAGAATTGATTAATTTCATCTTTATAAATAGATTATTGATTCAGTCTTATTTTTCCATACAAGCCAATGGAAAAAATCATATAAGCCAGTGGAAACTACCATATAAACTAATAGAAAAGACCATATAAACCAATAGAAAAGACCATAATAAGCCAATGGAAAAGACCATATAAACAAGTGGAAAAGACTATGTAAGCCAAAGGAAAAGACCATATAAACCAATGGAAAAGACCATGTAAGCCAAAGGAAAAGACCATATAATCCAATGAAAAAGACCATGTAAGCCAATGGAAAAGATCATATAAACCAATGGAAAAGACCATTGATACACCTCTTACTATAAAAAGTAACAAAATTGGACATGATTTCAACTGATGATGAGTGTCACGTGACCATCTTCAATTATATCATTATTGACCCACTAAACAGAAACTGGTGCTAATACGTTCAAATGTTACTTTGAAAATTTCACTTGTTTGCTTGTATTTACTAGTACAATTGGCAGGGCAAGTAGACAAGTGAAAACTGCTAGAAGATTTCAGCAGCTACTGGTCATGTAGGATCATCAGAGCGGATCTGAAAATTTTCAATCCCTGCATCCTTTTAATGAAAAAAAGACCATTTAAAAATAGAAAAAATTGTCTATTGCACTAGTTGTCCAATTGAAAATGCTTTGAAATGTCATGAAATAATATCTAATAATTTTTTGCAAAAAAAGATTTGTTTAAAAAGGTCAAGATCACTGTCTCCTAAGACAGCTGGTGTTATCTTACCTTTGTCATTTTGCTAATTTTAGATTAATCTTGATGGTTGTGAGTTATTGACAGAAAACACATTTTCTATGATGAAAAAGTTAATTTCTACGAGACAAGGGAAACTGCAATGCAACATGAGAGCTACTTCTGTTGCCCTCCAGGCCAACAGGTGTAAATCTATGAACAATTTAGGATGTCAGCCTCTAAAATCAGGTATTTGTAATGAAAATAATACTATCTCACCATCAGCTTGTTTTAATATTAACACTTTTGTCATGTTTTGAGGAATCAGCTGAATAAATTTGAAGGTCAGTCAAATTTGAATTATTTTACATGTTGATTTTACATAAGTGTCTTTTTCTTCCAAGTAATAAACAAATCCATAAATAAACTAGAACTGCCACTATTATGGCGTGAATACCCCCGCATACCACTTTGTCAGAATCAACAGTGGCCATTTAGAGCTCAAGGACAAGCTCCCTGCCAAATCTGAGGTTACTAAGCCAGTACATTGCCAAGTTATGTATTCTACATGCTTCAAATGTGAAAATGTCAAAATCAATACATTGCGGACAGGACATTCTTTAGCAATTGAGAAGAAAAGCTTTTTTTTTTGTCAAGGTCCCTTTGACCTTGACCTTTGACCAAGTGACCTCAAAATCAATAGGGGTCACCTTATTGTCATGATCAACATCCATGCCAAATATGAAGACTGTGGGTCAAAGGAATCTTAAGTTAATGGGTGGACAAACTTTTTGAAGTCAAAGTCCCTATGACCTTGACCTTTGATCCAGTGACCTCAAAATCAAAAGGGGTCATCTACTAATCATGATCAACATCCATGCCAAATATGAAGACTGTGGGTCAAAGGAATCTAAAGTTATTGGGCAGACAAACTTTTTGAAGTCAAAGTCCCTGTGACCTTGACCTTTGACCTGGTGACCTCAAAATCAATAGGGGTCATCTACTAATCATGACTAACCTCCATGCCAAATATGAAGACTGTGGGTCAAAGGAATCTTTAAGTTATAGGGCGGACAAGCTTTTTGAAGTCAAGGCCCCTGTGACCTTGACCTTTGACCTGGTGACCTCAAGGTCAATAGGGGTCATCTATTAATCATGACTAACCTCCATGCCAAATATGACGACTGTAGGTCAAAGGAATCTTAAGTTAGTGGGCGGACAAGCTTTTTGAAGTCAAGGCCCCTGTGACCTTGACCTTTGACCTGGTGACCTCAAAGTCAATAACCTCCATGCCAAATATGAAGACTGTGGGTCAAAGGAATCTTAAGTTATTGGGCGGACAAGCTTTTTGAAGTCAAGGCCCCTGTGACCTTGACCTTTGACCTGGTGACCTCAAAGTCAATAGGGGTCATTTACTTATCATGACTAGCCTCCATGCCAAATATGAAGACTGTGGGTCAAAGGAATCTTAAGTTATTGGGCAGACAACCTTTTTGAAGTCAAGGCCCCTGTGACCTTGAACTTTGACCTGATGACCTCAAAGTCAATAGGGGTCATCTACTAATCAGGACTAACCTCCATGCCAAATATGAAGACTATGGGTCATAGGAATCTTAAGTTATTGGGCGGACAAGCTTTTTGAAGTCAAGGCCCCTGTGACCTTGACCTTTGACCTAGTGACCTCAAAATCAATAGGGGTCATCTACTAAACATGACTAACCTCCATGCCAAATATGACGACTGTAGGTCAAAGGAATGTTAAGTTATTGGGCGGACAAGCTTTTTGAAGTCAAGGCCCCTGTGACCTTGACCTTTGACCCAGTGACCTCAAAATCAATAGGGGTCATCTACTAATCATGACTAACCTCCATGCCAAATATAAAGACTAAGGGTCAAAGGAATCTTAAGTTATTGGGCGGATAAGAAAAAACCGATGGACAGCCGGACGGACGACCGGACAGACGGACGGACAAGCTGATTCCAGTATACCCCCCTTACAACTTTGTTGTGCAGGGGTATAATAACAAAGTTTTGACAAATTTAGCAAAATTCGATAATTTGACCTTGACAATCAAGGTCATTTATAGGTCAAGGTCTCATTTAAAATAAGCATGTTAAAGTTATTAAAAAAGTGTTAAAATATACTTCAGCTATGAGGATACATATTTTGAATTATTGCTCTGATATAGACAAATTGTTTGAATCTCGAATGTGATATATAAAATAGATAAGAATTATGGGATGTCACCATATGTTGAGGGGAAAAAAGGGTACCGTGTTGTTTCCATTTATCGCCCCCGGGGCGTTGCAAAAACGGAAACTGGGGGCATTAGTTAGAAGCACATTTGTATAAAATGAAAATTAATTTTATGTTTAAAAATTATCTAAAAATCTCCCAACTATTTTCGTCCTATAAACCCCTTGTTCACATACGATAAATAAGCAGCACAAAATATTGTAGACAATAGGGTACTCCGCTGACCAGATAAACTTGTCAAGTATTGATTTTTCCTGTTCTGGCGGGGAAATTATGACCAGGAAATTATGACTTAGCATCAGTTTACCTGTGTTGTAAACAAGTTGATTTAATCAATACACAATGGAAGGTTGCACGTCTTCTAAGAAAACGTACATGAATGAATTCAAACTGCAAGTTGAATGTTACTTTTAAGTTACAACAGTTAGTTTTTTTTTCTGTTTATTTTTTAAATACACTTCGGATATTAAAATTTTCAAATCGGTTAAGATTTTTTTTTCACTTTTCACCCAGGGGGCGCTAAGTAGAAGGGGGGCTATAAATGGAAACAATACGGTATATAAACTTCATTTTTTTTTCTTTATTCATCCTATCACTTCAGACCATTCTTGCATATTACTATGTTTTAAAATGTTGACTTTGTTATTTTGCAGACAAAGATTTTCTACATGGTAATGTATTAATTGTACCTCATCCCAGCCTGACTACAAGTGTCGCTGAATATATATACTCTGGAAAAGTGGTAGAAAAATCTTCCGGATTTTTCAAATCTGACCTCAAAGTTGATGACTGGACCATGTCAGTCACAGAAATAAACCCATCTAGTGTAAGTAATAGATGTAGTTTACTCATAACCCACTGGAACCTCAAATGATAACGCTTTGTCACCAGTACAGAGCCAGGCCACCCTGCACCTCTGCACACTCTAGTTTAAGGCTCTTTGTTGTTGGCTAACTAACTTTAATTTTTCATCTTGATATCCTTCTAAATTGATAATGGACAGTTCCCAAATTGGAAGCTGGATAAGTCCATTTAAGAATTTCTAACCCTTAAAGCTGCATGCTTCTAAATGAGTCAAAATATTTCGGAAAAAGTATAATTTGAGAAAAATGTACAAAGATTTTAAGAAAAGTAAAAAAGATTCAAGCAGAGACATAGATATGTTTTCCTGATTCAGGTAGTAATTAAGAAGTTGTTTTGTAGTACATGTGTTTGTCACCATATTTTCACTGCATTACTAACGCAGTAAGGGCCCATTTATTGCTTATTTTGACCTCTTTTTTGGTAACCAACGTGGATTGTTATTGATGTTTGTATTATATAATATTTGAATTTGTTACACTAATAGGAGTGAATAGTTTGGTAATTGATAACTGATGTACATAATTGATAACTGATATACATAATTGATAACTGATGTACATAATTGATAACTGATATATGTAATTGAGAATTTCGCTTTTATTTCAGTGTTTACTGGACAGCATGGAATCAATGGGCAGTGGTCAAGTGATGATTCCATTTGATGCAAGTTCTGACCCAAAGGACATTACCAAACATGTGACAACAACAATATCAAGAGTTGTTGCAAAGGTAGACATTATTTTTTATATGCTTTAAAGATATCAATGGTTATTGTCACAGAGTTTTAAATTGAGAGGTAGCTATGATGTCATTCCCTTAAAATCTTTATCGGGGATTTATTATCCTCAACTTCACATTTTTGCAACATTTTCCCAGGCCATGTTTGTCACTAGGAAATTAACCAATACGTACGCTATAATAAAAGTAACTATAGAGAAGTTATAAAAATGTTAAAAAAGTAATAAAGCTTCAATAAAGTGTATATTATTCTCAGTAATGTACAAATGTTAACACATTTGAATACCGGTAGGTAAAATAAGAAGGTGGAAATTGATCAACTCCAAGGACCAATGAATCTTGCATTGTGGGATTGTGAGTCAGGGTTGGTAAGACTTTTTAGTCCCCTACCATTTTACCGGAGGGGACTTTAGGTTTACCCTCCGTCCATCTGTCTGTCCGTCCGTCTGTCTGTCAGTCCGTCCGTCCGCAAAACTGAATCCCGCGATAACTTGAAAAGTACTGAAAATATTTTTATGAAACTTGATATATAGATAGATGGCAGTATGGAAATTATGCAAGTTGTTTTCTTTTCTTCCTATGTTGAAAATTCTGGTTGCTATGGCAACAAATAGGCTGAAAATATGGCAAATTTTACACATAATCTGGATCCAGTGATAACGCAAAAAGTACTGGAAATATTTTTATGAAACTTGAAATATGGGTAGATGGCAGTCTGGAGATAATGCACGTCTTTTTCCTTTCTTCCTAAGTTGAAAATTCTGGTTGCTATGGCAACAAATAGACTTAAAATATGGCAAATTTTACAAATAAACTGGATCCAGTGTTAACGCAAAAAGTAATAGAAATATTTTTATGAAACTGGTAATATGGGTAGATGGCACTCTGGAGATTATGCACGTCTTTTTCTTTACTTCCTATGTTGAAAATTCTGATTGCTATGGCAACACATAGACTGAAAATATGGCAAATTTTTACACATAAACTGAATCCAGTGATAACTCAAAAAGTACTGGAAATGTTTTTATGAAACTTGACATATGGGTAGATGGCAGTCTGGATATTATGCATGTCTTATCTTTTCTTCCTATTCTGAAACAAGAGGGTCATGATGGCCCTGAGGTCGCTCACCTGTATATAGGCACCCGGAGCGGGGCCAGTTTAAACTCCAGGGCTTTTATTTGAACAAACTTGGAAGACACCCATTAGAAGATGTTTCACGATGTTAAGTTTTTACTACACACATATAATAAAAAACAACCATCTACCTCCGCCCCTCCCCCCTTCAACCCCCCTCCCCCCCCCCCGGCAGGGCCAATTTTAACCCAAGGGCTTTTATTTGAACAAACTTGGTAGACACCCATAAGAAAATGTCTCATGCTAAACATCTAAGCTCTAGCTCATTGGGTTTTTTAAAAGATTTTTTAAGTTTTTACTATACACATATAGTTAAAAACAATGACACCCCTGGGGTGGGGCCAGTTTTGACCCCAGGGCTTTTATTTGAACAAACTTTGTAGACACTTAATAGAAGATGTTTCATGCTTAATATCTAAACTCTAGCTATTTGGGTTTTTTCAAAGAAGATTTTTAAGTTTTTGCTATACACATATATTAGGAAAATCAATGACCCCCGGGGCGGGGCCAATTTTGACCCCAGGGCTTTTATTTGAACAAACTTTGTAGACACTCACTAGAAGATGATTCATGCTTAATATCTAAACTCTAGCTATTTGGGTTTTTTCAAAGAAGATTTTTTAAGTTTTGGCTATACACATGTAAGGAAAATCAATGACCCCCGGGGTGGGGCCAATTTTGACCCCAGGGCTTTTATTTGAACAAACTTGGTAGACACCCATAAGAACATGTTTCATGCTACATATCTTTGCTCTAGCTCTTTGAGTTCTCTTTAAAAGAAGATTTTTTAAGTTTTTACTACCGGTATATGCATAAAGGGAAAATCCATGACCCCCTGGGGCGGGGCCAATTTTGACCCCAGGGCTTTTATTTGAACAAACTTGGTAGACACTCATTAGAAGATGTTTCATGCTAAATATCTTAGCTCTAGCCCTTTGGGTTCTTTAAAAGAAGATTTTTATGTTTTACTATATGCATATAGGGAAAATCAAAGACCCCCTGGGGCGGGGCCAATTTTGACCCCAGGGCTTTTATTTGAACAAACTTGGTAGACACTCACTAGAAGATGTTTCATGCCAAATATCTAAGCTTTAGCTCTTAGGGTTTTTTAAAAGAAGATATTTAAAGTTTTTTCTTTCGGTTGCCATGGCAACCAGAGTTCTGCATGGAATTAAATTCTTTGAACAATTTTTAAAGGTGACCACCAAAGGAACATTCCTGTGAAGTTTGGATGAAATTGGCTTAGTGGTTTATGAGGAGGTGTCATTTAAAGTAAAAGTTTACGGATAGACGGACGCCGGACGAAAAGCGATCACTAAAGCTCACCCTGTCACTTTGTGACAGGTGAGCTAAAAATATTGGTTGCCTTGGCAACAAATAGGCTTAAAACATGGCAAATATAACAATATTTGTGATTAGTCAAAAAGAGCTGAAAATTTTTATGAAATTGCATCTTTAATTCAAGAGTTATCTCCTCTTTAAGAATTTTGCTTTTAAAAATGGTATATTTTGGTAACAGGGATGTTTCAAATATTAACTTTAGAGTGTCCTTCAGTCCGTCTGTCTGTCTGTTCCTAAAAACTGTTTCCTGTGATCACTTTTAAAGATCTTTTCTAACAATGTTACTTGAAATAGAGAAAAATTGAAACATTAGTGAATGGCCAATGGCCCTTCAGAATGTTGATGGGGTTCTAACCAGTAGGGGACTTATGGATTGCTTGCAATACTATGATAATTGCTTGTCTTTTTAGAGTTTCTTATCCCTCTGTAATATATGTCTCTGATATGTTTTAGTTTTAGGATTCATACATGACATTTTGTACTTTACCTTGGAATGTGAAAAATGTATTTATATTAACCCCCACCATGTTAATTTTGTGTACAAGATGTGTCCTACTTTGAATGAGGGACATTTCATTGTTACATTTTGGAATATTCCATTGTTAGTTTGTGGGAAATTCATTGTAAGGTTTCGGGACTTTCCATTCTTAGATTTAATTGGACATGACATTGTAAAGTTGTGGTAAATTCCATTGTTAGGTAAGGTTGTGGGATATTTAGTTGTAAGGTTCTGGGACATTATATGATTATTTCACCCTCGTGTTTTTCCAGGAACCTGTTTGGCAGGAGTGGAGGGGCTCAAAACAGGAAATTCCTTTTCAAGCCATACAGAGCACTGTACCATTTATGGATGTTTATAAAGTTGTTGGACTAGATCTGCTAGACCAACCTGATGGCAGCAAGAACATTCGGTATTTATGTTTTTTTAGGTCTTTTGTTCAGTTTTCAGGCATCTGATTATTCTCAAGATCAGAAAACAATTTTCTATGTTTGCACCTTTAATTACTTGTAGTGGACAAGCCTATATGTCTCTTTGCGCATAATTTCAGGTATAAATACAAAATGGCTTTTCACTCAGCTCTCTTGGGAGAGCATTGGATCTGAAATCTTAGGGTAAGGTGTAAGGGATTCCAAGTAAGATTTAACCTTTAACCCTATGCATTGAGGGAAAAAATGTTGTTTGCTTAATTCTTCTTTGAATTTTATCCAATTTCCTGGAAATAAAAAAAAATAGATGACCATCAAACAGCTTCGTACAAGACAAGACACTCAAATTTCTTGGTTTTCCTGGAACTGAGCTGTTTGCAGAGGCTATCATCAGCCTGTCTAAAAAAAACCCACAGAAATACATTTTAATTCTCAGCTTCATTTCTAAAGCGATTTTGACTTAACTTTCACAGAAGCTTTGTTAATTTGTTATTAAGTTTGCCGGTTGTTGATAAGCTGTTGATAAGCTGTGTACCAGACAAGACACCCAAATTTCTTGGTTATCCTCAAACTGAGGTGTTTGCAGAGGCTGTGGTGATTTCTTTCAGCAGGATAAAGGTTTGAAATGACCCATTGAAGAGTGATTAAAACTTTGAACTCAAGCTGCAATATTATCAGACATATGTCCATGTGCCACCAATTGAATGACAAACCAGCCTGCATATCCATGTAGTCAGAACGTACTTTAAAATGAAAGCTATAGTCTTTGCACTGTATCAGGGACAGCTCTTGTCTGGCCTGACTTTTTTATGATAGTAAATCAGTTGTGCTAATTTGTTCGAAATGGTGATAGACTGTTCCAAACTGTGACAGGTTTGCTTATATTGATAACACAAGGCATTCATGTTAACATGTATTTGGTATACATGTTACAATATGGGTATCGATTTTTCATGATCTACAAAATGTATATAAGTCAAAAAAATTGATAGTTAATGATTATGTATGAATTAATGTTTACAGAAATATAAGTCTGTCAGATTCGATGATAGGGGTGTTCGTTTCGAGAGAAAGGTTCACACGTTCTAACAGTTATTTTGAAGTCACAGTAGGGATCGAGGGTGACAGTGGTAAAAGTGGCGCCCTTATTGGTTGTCTGTACGATGTCCTCTACTCGGAGAATAACCCCATGGATTCCTCTTCCGATGTTGGAGGGATGGTTGACGGGTAAGCTTCATTAATTAATTTAATTTTTCCTCATAGCCATCAAATGGAAAACCAATTTGGCAACTCACATAGTAATTTAATTTTTTGGAGCTAAGTTCAGACTGACCATTTAGAGAGAAACAACTGGTTTGTTTAAGTTTATAAAACACCATTAATGAGGCAATATAATCTTACTTGACTAATATGTAAAAACATCTCTACAATGAATTTTAGCTTTGAAGTAGCATCTGGGCAGAAAATTGTAGGATTTGGAATAGATGGAGAATGGGAATCTGAGTATGTGCCCTGTAGTGACGCCGAGTTCTATTTTACTGAAGATGGTGTGAAGGTAGTATCTAAAATTCTTTTAAATTTTTGGTCATGATCAAAGTAAAAATAGTATAATCCAATTATTCTTCTTCGCACAAAATATGAGTAAATTCTTATGTGTTGATTTTTTTGCATTGAGAATGTATATCATTCAAATACATGTATATATGATATAGAAAAATCATAATTTGTTCCTTGATTGTTTTGTAAATTTAGCCTCCTTTAACCAATACAAAAGAAAAATAGTCCATTATGTTTGTGGGGCATCTGTGGCCAAGTAGTTAAGGTTGTTTACTTCAAAGAACTTTCCTCTTGCCAATGTAGGTTCGAGCCACGCAAGCGTCTTCAGATGTTTTCATGTAAGAAATCTATAAAGCTGCCTTACAAAATGTTGGTGGTTCTACACAGGTGCCTGTTTGTGCCTGAAATTAAGTACAAAGGGTCTACCTCCACCAGTTAAGCTGGAGAGTCAAAATTTGACCTATACTGTGTTGGTGTGTCATTAAACCAAACAATTTTGATTGTCAACATGAGGGCCTTCAGGCTTAATGATTAAGATTAAGAGCATATCCATTACCCTTTCATTACTTACGTTGAAAATCTGATGTTGGAAATTTGAATATTCATTATGTTATGTGAGATAGGTTTGCATCTACTTTATGGAAGGTTGGTTTTTCTATGTAATGACTTTAGTGATGCATGTACATAGAATAGCTAGGAGGATCTTTAGCCAAGTGGTTAAAACTGCATGCCTCCGATGACCCAAAATATTTCAAGAAAATTAAACTTGGCAAAACCATACTAAAACTTTGAGAAAAGTAAAGAAATTAAAGATTCAAGTGATAATTTCTATCTTATGTGCAATTAATGACTGTATTTTGTAGTATTTATGAACATATTTCTACTGCGCTACTAACGCAGTAGGGGCTATTTATGGATATTTTGACCTCTTTTTGGTAATTACTTGGATTTTATGTGTCGATTGTAATGTGTCAAGTACTTTCTGTAATTTTCGTTGATTTTAAGTGTCGATTGTAATGTGTCAAGTACTTTCTGTGTTCATTTTACAATATTTTACCTTTAAATACAATTTCAAAATTTTCATGAAAATTAGGATGAATCTGGAGGCGTGCTGCTTTAAGGTTGTTGAATTCAAACAACTGTGGTTTCGAAATCCTGTCAGTGACTTTGGATTCTTTCATGTGAGAAAGCTATCCAAATAGCTTACAGAATGTTGGTAGCTCTACTCCAGTGCCAGTTTGTGCCTGAAATAATGGTTTTCTTCACAAATAAAACTGGAAAGTTGCCATAAAACTTTTACACTATTGTTGTGCCATAAAACCCAAGAAAAAAAAAAAACCAGTAGGGAAAGCACATGAGGTCCTTGATCATAAGAGTTAATAAATCATGAAGATTTTATATGACCTATATATAAACATTTTGTAATACTGCACGTTGCAACTCCTCTCTTTAAGAAAAAATTAATATTGAAATTACAGAGGGACATACATCAGGTAACTGTAGACTTATCATTGTAATCAATTGAGAACCCATGCTACAAATGTACTGTATTTTAATCATGTAAGACACAATATAATCATGGTTTTTTTGTAATTAATATTTTACAATACGTCTGCACTCCTTGACCTTTATTTTACTTTTTCAGCAACCACCTAAAAACCCTGATGAAAAGCTAAAACCAAACGGATCTATGTACCCAATTGTATCAGTTCTCGGAGAATCAATATGTACAGCAAAGTTGCCACCCCTAGTAGAAGCACCAGAGGTATTTTTAAACTGTTAATGTCATATCTGAAAAATATATTTCATTAATCAGTGGCAAGAATGAAAGATGTTGATTGGACTTATGAGTTTTAGCCGTTTGCATGACACAGGGTTTAAACCATGATTATTTGGTAAGAAAGGCACATGCTTCCAAGGGCAATTTGGTTTACAACTATATGAAAGGCACATGTGTTTTCATTTTTATTTGGTTGACCACAAAATGTCATTGGCAAGGTACATGTGTTGCCATTATTATTTGGTTGACCACAAAATGTCATTGGCAAGGTACATGTGTTGCCATTTTTATTTGGTTGACCACAAAATGTCATTGGCAAGGTACATGTGTTTTCATTTTTATTTGGTTGACCACAAAATGTCATTGGCAAGGTACATGTGTTTTCATTTTTATTTGGTTGACCACAAAATGTCATTGGCAAGGTACATGTGTTTTCATTTTTATTTGGTTGACCACAAAATGTCATTGGCAAGGTACATATGTTTCCAAGATTATTTAGTTTTACACAATATATCCTGGGCAAGGCACATGCGTTTCAGTGACTACTTTTTTGCTTGGCAATGCACATGTTTCCAAGATTACTTGGTTTAACACAATATGAAGTTGGCAAGGCAGATATGTTTCAGTGACTTAGTTTTGATTAAGTTTTGGAAAAATAAGATCATCAATTATGAAATCTTGATATTCTTATTGTTATTTATAAAGGTTTATACATTGTTATATCTTGGCAACAGGAGTTAAAAAGGAAGTGGACCAAAGAAAATAGATGGATTGAGAGGGGACGTGCTTGTGATATTCTTGTAGATAAGGAGGGAAGAATGAGGTTTGTTTATTAAAATTTGTAGATCATTAAATAAAAATTATTATTGGTATTTCTAGCTCCACGTTTTGAAGAAAAAAAAGTGGCGGTATTGTCATGAAGCACTCATCAGTGTCGCCTTTGGCTAACCTTTTTGCTTAAGTTTTGTTTATGGTCATTAATTTGAATGCTAATAAAGTTTTAACATTGAAACATTACATTGTCACCTTAGTGCAGTAACAGGTTAAGTCCTTCTAAATTACATTAGAGTTAACTAGTTATTGCACTATGCTTACGATTATTATTATGTGGATATGAAAGTAGGAAGTTAATGCTTAAGACCACCTAAGGACAACCTGAATAGTTTCTTGCATGTGAGGAAGCTGTAAAGGTTGCTAACCGAAGGTTTGTAGTTTTGCCACCATGGCTTTGTGGTCCATTGAATTCATTTTTACCATATATGACAAAGCTCTTCAGAAAGAATTTGGTTCTACGTATGTATTCATTTATTCTTGAAATAATGCACTCATGGTTCTATAACAGCTCTGAAACGTAGACGCCGCTACAACTTAACAGACAGTCTGGTTTTCAGTGGATTCCAGTTTTTATAGGTTTAATACAGAGTTGTTTATCTATCATTATGATGCGTGATTACATAGACTATGTTTATATTCTTTTGTATTTACTTTTCAACCCTCCTGGCCTAGTCATATTTTCATTTGATTTTGGAATACATATCTGACTTAATTTGTTTTGCCAAGTCATAAATAGAAATGCACAATTACACTTTTAACCAGCACCTTCTCTTTAAGTTAACTTTTTTTAGAAGGGCTCCTCTGAGGTCTTTTTATCGGGACTGGAAATATTTTTTTTTGAGATTAATGTTTCAAATCTGATTACGAATAGCATAAAAATACTATTTTCAATTTATTTTTGAGTATATTTTTTAATTATCTTTTGCAAATTTGGTCTGTTTTAGTGCTCTGGCGATGCAAGAAATTCAAATTGTATTGTTTTAGGTTTTTGAACCCCAGTGGAGTTCCTGTAATCAAAAAAATAAAATAAAAAATAAAATAAAATGTTTTTCTTCACTTTTCAGATATTGCAGGAATTATGCGTCTGGCAGTATGAGGGGTATATTCCTCGGACTGCGTGCGCCAGATAACTACTCATTTTCAGTTGTCATAGAGGAACTTTCTCCAGATACTAATTTTAGCATCGGAATTGCCGGAGAGAGTTTAGTCAGTCTTGTGGCAAGTGGGAAAGGAAATATTCTATACAGCTTAGTTTTTGAAACAATTAAGTAAGTTTTATCATAACAAATCTTTCTCATATTAAGATTGGCCATTCATAATTTAAATTTGATGTTAACAGAATATAAGTTTGCATGTACGGAGATAAAGAACAAATTTTGACTGGACTTTAAAAATTCTTTGACTTACCCAGAATGGACCTTTCCGGTGTTTACAGATTTATGTTAATTGGCTAACTTGTTATCCAGTCAATACACTGAGATAATACATAGTCACTGGTTGACCTAGTTTGCACAAAAGAACACGTGCTTATGTTTGTGATACTGTTTGTGAGCAGTTGACCTAGCGATGAATGGAAAAGGTGTGGCTTAATGTTCCGCTACGAAGACCGGAAAGGTCCATTCGTATACGGTCCATAACTAAGTCATTTATCAAAGGAATTTGAAATAACTTGGCACAAATGTTTATTATAATAAGACATTTTGTCATGTGCAAAACTGGACACCTATGTCCAAGGTCAACATCACATTGACATTTAAAGGTAAACATTGTCTATTTGGGGGTATATATTGTTTTTGGTCCAAAACTTTCTTTTCCATGAAGAGATTTTGAAAGTACTTGGCACAAATGTTCACAATAATTATACAAAAATTAGAAAAAATCATTTGCCTACCTCCAAGGTCAAGGTCATGCTTGAAGGTCAAAGGTTCACAATAATAAGACGATGTGTTATGTTACCCACCCAGAGCTGTATCTTTGCTGACTTTGGAGTCAAGGTCACATCGGAGGTCAAAGCGTAATATGGTCCGGTATATTTTGTTACCAATTTATAACTTTTTCATCCATCAAGGGATTTTGAAAATATTTGGCACAAATATTCAGAATAACGAGACAACTTTTCATGTTCAAAATGTATAAATCATGGATAGGAATTTTGACAGAAATACTGTCCAGTTTAAGTACATGTACAGTTTGGGTCTTGGTCCCATTTAATTTATTTCTTTGACACAGCATCATTTATTTATTTGTGGTCACATGTTTTAAGGCTTCTACTCATGACATGTATCTCTTAGTTTTAAACTTTCTAATATATTTCAGGTCTGGGGAAGTCAGTATCAAGTAAGTTTTTGTTAGGTTTTGCTTTTCAAATAAATTTACATATATTAGAAATTATTTGAATTGCTTGAACATTCAGATATATTTTTTTCTTTCTACAAGAAAATAGATATTTTATCAAATTTGCATTCATATAGTAATGCAATTTTCTTTTGTCTTGTTGTCACATTTGCAAAAACAATGAGATAAAATAATTAAAAATGACAATAATTTTGTTGAAATTTAGTTATTTAAAGATGATAATATGTACAGATTTAGTAATATAAGGATCATAACATGTACAGATTTAGTAATATAAAGATGATCACACGAACAGATTTAGTTATATAAAGATGATCACATGAACAAAGAATATAAAGATTATCACATGAACAGATTTAGTAATATAAAGATGATCACATGAACAGATGTAGTAATAATAAGATGATCACATGAACAGATTTAGTAATATAAAGATAATCACACGAACAAAGAATATAAAGATGATCACATGAACAGATTTAGTAATCTAAAGATGATCACATGAACAGATTTAGTTATATAAAAATGATCACATGAACAGATTTAGTAATAATAAGATGATCACATGAACATATTTAGTAATCTAAAGATGATGACATGAACAGATTTAGTAATATAAAGATGATCACATGAACAGATTTTGTAATGTAAAGATGATCACTTGAACAGATTAAGTAATCTGAAGATGATCACATGAACAGATTTAGTAATATAAAGATGATCAAATGAACAGATTTAGTAGTCTAAAGATGATCACATGAACAGATTTAGTAATCTAAAGATGATCACATGAACAGATTTAGTTATATAAAGATGATCACATGAACAGATTTAGTTATATAAAGATGATCAAATGAACAGATTTGGTAATCTAAAGATGATCACATGAACAGATTTAGTTCTAAAAAGATGATCACATGAACAGATTTAGTAATCTAAAGATGATCACATGTACAGATTTAGTTATCTAAAGATGATCACATGTACAGATTTAGTTATATAAAGATGATCACATGTACAGATTTAGTTATATAAAGATGATCACATGTACAGATTTAGTTATATAAAGATGATCACATGTACAGATTTAGTTATATAAAGATGATCAAATGAACAGATTTAGTAATCTAAAGATGATCACATGAACAGATTTAGTTATATAAAGATGATCACATGAACAGATTTTGTTATATAAAGATGATCACATAAACAGATTAAGTAATCTAATGATAATCACATGAACAAATTTAGTTATCTAAAGATGATCACATGAACAGATTTAGTTATATAAAGATGATCTCATGAACAAAGAATATAAAGATGATCACATGAACAGATTTAGTAATCTAAAGATGATAACATGTACAAATTTAGTTATATAAAGATGATCACATGAACAGATTTAGTAAATCTAAAGATGATCACATGAACAGATTTAGTAATATAAAGATGATAACATGTACAGATTTTTTAATGTAAAGATGATAACATGTAAACATTTATTTATCAAGGTGCGAGAAAGTAAAGGGTACTGCAGAGAAGGAAATTATAGAGCAAATCAAGGAATTGAAAGTTGGTGATGAAATCAAAGTAGATTGCAAAGTGGTCAATTCTGAGAAAGTAAAAACAGATATGGACATGACCTTCTATCATAACAACAAACAGGTGTTTATTTTCAAGCATATTTTTGTTGTTCTTGTTGATATTAAACATTTTTTTTTTTCAAATCCGTTTTCTTTGTTATCCTCAAAGTTTGAGTTGTACTTTGCAATATATAAGCCAGATCACTTGTGACAAATTTAATAACCAAAGTTGCCCCATTAAATCTGGAATTTGTTTAAGAAGACTTAATTATTTAATTCTATAATGAAGAAAATGTCTGCTAACTTAATATTTGTTTTCACTAAGCACAAATGAAAGTTTATAATCCTGGAGACTGTGTTACCAGATTTATCCATCATTTTGTACTAGTTAGGCATTTGAGTATGGGAAAAATATTGACTTGAACTTTAAAACTTGAAAAATGTCTGGAAAATTGTATCAATTGTTCTTTGTCAATTTCTTATCAATCAAATGAACTTAAAAAGTAACCAAATGTCAGTTGTTATGAAGTTATTTTAGAATTATGTTGACATGTATTCATGCTTTTTTTATACATTTTTTCAGGTGTTTTCCTCGGTGGTTTCTTTTGACTTCAAAGCAAAACCAGCACGATTAGTTCCCTATGTAGGTATAAAAACTAAAGATGTCGTTCTAAGACTGAAGAATTACATGCCCACATACCGCAGACCAGTGAGTAGACATTTCAAAGAATATTATATATATATATACACATTAAAACATGATAAATGTTCCTAGTGCAGTGTTGAAATAAATAAAATAATAATATTTAAGAAATTTCAAACTCCATATTTTCAATATTTTCCAAAAATATATCTAGATTACAACATGGGATATAGCTGCATGTATATTATTGAGTTTTTTAATTCCAGGCACCTTACAAAGATAAAATAACACTTGGAAGATGCCACTATATGAATGTGATGGACAATGGAGAATGTCATTTCAAGTATGTCACAACATTTCTACATATCCCTGCAGAAATCAAGATGAATTTTTTATCACCTGACATGTATTTAGCTATCATAAATGAAAACCTTTTAATTTGATTCTTTTGATGATCTATAACTAGTGAGAAATAGTGACCTTTGATGCTATATTTTGTTGTACCTATAAAGTTTAGTGGAGGGAAATGAGGGGGGAGGAAAGGGTATATAGGAGTATACTTATCAGTTAGTCTGTTAAGTCTGGATGAGTACCGCCTCCGTTGTCGAGAGGTTAGAGTTGATGACTTCTAATCCAGCTACCTCTCTGGCATGGGTTCCATCCCCGGGAGATGCTTTGGTAGTTTAGCGCGGAGGAAGGTAATCTAGTATTGGTGTAACTCTCCAGGAACAATGGTTAGGAAAATACTCGCCTGTATGACTGAAATACTGTTGGGAAAAGGTGTAAAATGAAACAAACAAACAAGTCTGGATGATTAAGTTCTAAAGTGGCAATGGATTGTTATGATATTGTGTATATCATGAAATACAGGTATTTTATTAAGATAAAATTTTGCTTTAAACTCCTATTTTATTTTGCCCCCGAAGGGAGGCATATTAAAATTGCACGGTCTGCCTGTCCGTTCATCTGTGCGTCCCCACTTCATTTGTGTCCAGACTGTAACTTTGTCATACATTGAGGGATTTTGAAATAACATGGCACAAATGTCTACCACAACAAGACGATGTGTCGCGTTGAAAAATGACCTCCCTTAAAGGTCAAGGTCACACTATCATTTTAAAAATTCACATTATCACAATTAGAGTTAATAGGTACACACATTCGTGTCCCGACTGTTGATTTGTCATGCATCAAAGGATTTTAAAATAACTAAGCATAAATGTCTACCACATCAAAATGACATGTCGCGAACTCGTGATTTATACCCATGTTCATACTGTCATGGTCAAGGTCACACTTATAGTTTGAAGGTACTCATTCTCTCGAGAAGAGTTTGGCACAAATGTTTACCACATGATGACGATGTGTCATGGCTAAGGCTCATGTCCATCTGTCTGTCAGTGTGCCCCCAATTACACACAACAATCATGTTCAGACTGTAACTTTTTTTTTTGTCATGCATTGAGGGATTTTGAAGTAACTTGGCACAAATGTCTATCTCATGACAACATTCAGTGCCGTCCAAGAGCCATGTCCCATCTTCAAAGTTCAAGGTCACACTTATATTTTGAAGATTCAAGCTATCACTATGAGAATTTAAGGTACAAAAATACAAAGAACATTTTTAAGCAATTAGTTACTTTCATTCTCTTTTCTTTTCTTTACCTGCATGCTTAAGAAACCTTTTTGGGGGCATTTGTTACTTGTTTGAAAGGTTTTGTTTTATTTTACATAGTTATGGCCCTGTTTTCTTAGAGTTTTAACAAAAGTCTGTCTCTGACGTTATAATTTCTTTCATTTTATAGGGTGCCTGATCATTTTCCAAATGACGGGAAAGTATATGGGTGGTTTATGGGCAAGACTCCATTTAACAAAGATCTCCTGGAGTTCACAGTTGAAGTGATGGAACTGGATATAAACAAACTATTTGGTATTGGTGTTACAGAGCCAAACTTTGTAGAGAGCCATTCATTTATTGGATGGAAACAGGACCAGCTAGGATATCATGCTGACAATGGAAAGTAAGTTCACTGTTATCTATATATTTATTGGCTCAACTTTCTGAAGAATAGGGAAAGCTATTGTACTTGCCCAGGTATCAGCGTCAGTGTTGGTGTCAGAGTTGCCGTCACACTTTTTGTTAAGTTTTTGTGTGCAAGTGGGTTTGTAAAGAATGGTTAAGAGCACTGTCTTATGGAAAGCTGTTGTATTACAATGTATATTCATTGTACATATGTTTATTTCAAAGCTAAATTGAAGGCAAAACAAATGTTTTGAGATTTATCACAATACAGTCAACATGTATTACAGTACAAAACAATACAAAAGCTAATTGCTATTTTCATTAATGTTAAAAGCTCAGCAAACTGTAAATAAAACTTATGATATATTTCTCAAAAACTTTCAAAGATACTCATTTTAAACTTGGGGTACTTTACAATCAAATTATTTCAGGCATGAACGGGCACCTGAGTAGAACCACTGACGTTCTGTAAGCTAGCTGGATAGCTTCCTCACATGAAAGAATTCAAAGTCCCTGTCGGGATTCAAAACCACAGCGGTGAGGGGCAAGTGGTTTGAAGTCAACGACCTTAACCACTCAGCCACAGACACCCCAAAATTACTGTTGTTAAGTCGGAGTGGGATTTTGAATTATTTCTCTGTTTGTCTATATTTATAAACTTGTCAGGGTGGGGATGGATTCTTTTGTCTATTGTTTGTGTATTTATAAACTTTTGTTGTCAGGTATTATCACAATGATGGAACCGGGAGTGACAAAGGCTATAAAGGCGGTCCAATTGACTCAAAAATAATTGAAGGTGATACGGTGAAATTAAAAGTAGTTCCGGCAGATCATCTTACGCCACTGTTGTTTGACGAGGAGGGTGTACTTCAACCTCACCAGAAATTGTTAATCCAGTTCTATAAAAATGGAGAACTTGTAAGATTTATTTCCTTCCTTATGTCATTTCCCTTGAATGAAATATCATATAAATTGTAATATAATGAAAGATTTTGAACTGATTAAGATTTTTAAGAGAAAGTATGGTCATCATTAGTATTGAACTGCTCCCTTCTGAGTAAGGAGTAGCATGGTAAAGACTTGTTCACTAACAATGGGAGAAAAGGTGTCAACAGTTGGATAGTTCAGTCTGTGAGTAGAGCTGTGGAACGATATTTATTGGTTAAAGCAGCATGCTTCCAGATGAGTAAAAATATGCTATGAAAATCAGAGAAAAATGTACAAAGTTTTTAAGAAAAGTAGATAGATTCTGCTTGTGCCAGTAATAAAGCATTGAGGGGCGCCTGAGTTCATGAACTTGCTCCATACATAGTGTGTCTGCTTGTGCCAGAAATAAAGCATTGAGGGGCGCCTGAGTTTATGATCTTGCTCTATATATAGTGTGTCTGCTTGTGCCAGAAATAAAGCATTGAGGGGCACCTGAGTTCATGAACTTGCTCCATACATAGTGTGTCTGCTTGTGCCAGAAATAAAGCATTGAGGGGCGCCTGAGTTCATGAACTTGCTCCATTAATAGTGTGCCTGCTTGTGCCTGAAATAAAGCATTGGTGGTTCCACTGACCATATACATATATATTAATTTAATAGTTTCAATGACTACATACATTTAAATAATCTAGTGGGTTCACTGACCATATACATGTATCTTTGTTTTAGATGTATGAGATCCCACATGAGTTTCACAGTGAGGCGATGTACCCAGCCTTTAGCACAAGAAACTCAGTAGTGAAAATCCACAACTTCTATCCTGAGACTGCGGCATTACTAGCGAAGACTTTCAGCATGAACCAGGTAACAATTTCATTTGAGCCGCATCATGACAAAACCAACATAGTGCATTTGCGACCAGCATAGATCCAGACCAGCCTGTGCATCTGCGCAGTCTGATCAGGATCCATGCTGTTCACTTTCAGTTTCTCTACTTGTAATAGGGTTTGTAGGTGAACAGCATGGATCCTGATCAGACTGCGCAGATGCGCAGGCTGGTCTGGATCTATGCTGGTTGCAAACTATGATGGTTTTGTTATGACACAGCTCATTTGTAAATTAGTTGTCCAAAATTTTGCAAGGATGTTAAATATTTTCAAAAGAGATAGATTGTCAGCTGGCTTTGCTGAAACTGTTTTATGTAAATGATGGACAGAGTGGCCTATTAACTGGTGATGGTGTTGGTAGATTTTAGGCTTTCAAGCAGTTTATTAGCATTAGTTACCTTCAGTTTGGTAAGAAGCTGATAACTTCGATCAGTACATATCAGAGCAGAGGTTACAGTGCAAATGACTGTAAAAAGGATTTCATGATCAATCACAATGAAAGTGACCTGCACCTTCCTGGAATTTAACCAGGGTTGCCTGAATCACAGTCCAATGCTCTAGCTATTGAGCTTAACAGACAATGTATAAAGTATTTATATACTGCAATATCATGACACAAATTTTAGTGTCTTTTTCATGGATTGGACATTCTTTGAATTTAAGATCCAACAAAATTCATTTTTTGTCTGCTGTAAGGTTATTTTTAGTTACGTTAGTTTCATTATCCAAATAATGAGGCAATCCGTGAATAAAAAAAACACAACAAAAAAATGTCCTTTTGGACAAAACAATAAATTTTATAATCATGCAATTGAATGCACAGTACACAATGTATGTGTTAAATAAGAAAACAAGTACATGTAGCTGAAATATACTGTATACATAAAAAATTAACATGAAAATTTCCCGTTGTGCGAGTTTCGTTATTTTTGGTATATGTAAAATATATACATGTATACAGTAGTATATTATATTTGTAATTAATTTTCAGAAAAATGAAGAAAAACCTAATGAAAAAGAAATACCTGAAGAGCCTCCTCAAGATTTATTTAAAGGAACAGAATTTCTAGTTGTCGGGGTAACCAATGGGTCATCTGATCCTGCTGGCAAGCTACAAATTCTTAAACAACAAATAGAACAGATAGATAAATCAAATTTTCAGGAAATGAACAATGTGGCAACGGCAATATCTGAAATGGAACGGTAAGATGAATTTTATGTTAATGTATGATTAATATAACAGCATAGCCGAGAGGTTAACGGGTGTGACTAGTAATCTAAAGAACAAACGTCTGGATATACATGTATATTATTCTAGTCGTTTCACTAATCTTATACATGTATATTAATCTAGTGGTTCCACTGACCATATACATGTATCTTAATCGAGTGGTTTCACTGACCATATACATGTATATTAATCTAGTGTTTAATAAATTTGTCTATAAACTAGTAAAGCAATTTTTGAAGCAGGAAATATGATTACACTAAATTAGTAGATTTAACATTCACCCCAAACTTCTGGAACTGAAAGTGATTTGCCTTGCCACTAGTATAGAGCCAGGCCATCTGATTGACTCTATACTTTTTGAAGCTCATTTTGTTAACTTTGATTTTAAAATTTTTAATAAACTTTGAATGGATTGTTAATCCATTACACAAATTTAGAAGGTCCCATAGTTATAAAACCTTTTCCTGAGATCAAGCTAGATTCTCAACATTTTCATTGGTCAATTTACATCTGTGCCTGTTTCTGACCAATCAAATAGCTGAGAAATAGCTGAAATTGAAATAAGAATATTTCTTTATATCCTCGGCCCCTGGTCAAGGGTTAAACATTGTTACTTGAATACCAACTGTTTTACAGAGATTTGGCCTCTATGGACCTTCAAGATCAGCAGAGGTATGGTCAGCTATGTGGTATCTATGACAACATGATGAACTTTGTCAACAACATCAAGGATAGGGTTAGATATCTCCCACTTACCTTGAATGCTGAACCTGACAAACTGAAAGATGTAAGTTTATTAATATTTTTTTTGGTGTTTTGTTTTCATGAATGAATTTAAACAAATTGTATTATCTGATATCTATATAATAAAAGTACAAATTGTCACATTAGTGTAGTAACAGTTTAACTTTTATCTAATTACATAAGGAGTTACTGCAATAAGGTGACAAAATGTTAAAGTGATGATAACCTTACTTTTTGATCTAGCAATAACTGCTCTTTATCCAACCCACCAACTCTATAAAAAGTTTTGGTAAAGCATCTGTGTGTACATCCCAGGACACTTACCTGGCAGCTACATTGACCATTGATGTTAGGGTGAGGTTTGAGGTTTTTTGGTCAAGGTCACCAAGCTGAAAGAACTTTACTTGGACTTGGTGTAAAAAAAGTTTACTTGGACTTGGTGTGAAATGGATGTAATTAGTTTAATACAAGAGCCTGTTTTGAGCAGGGTGATGCTCCCTGAATAGGTTTTGGACACAGGAAAGTACACCTCTTGTAGTTACAGAGTTATGTCCCTGGAAAAAGTTCAAAGTACAATAATTCCAAAATTAGGCAAGGCAGAGTGACTGTTCTTTGCAGTGCACTTCTAATCAATGGGATCTATCAACCTTCAAAGTTTATACCTCTTATGGTTTACAAAGTTCAAAAAGTAAAAATGAACAAAGGGAAATTACTACGAAATTTGGCAAGGCGGAGTTCAAGTTCTTTTGCACTGCACATCCACTCATTGAGATATACCTACCTACAAAGTTTCATGTTGATATCTCATATAGTTTTACAGCTATGTCCTGGACAAGATTTTTCTAAAAGGGGAGATAATTCAAAAATGAGGCTTAACAGAGTTATGATTCTTTTGCACTGCACTTCTACTCAATGAGATCTATCTACATACAATGTTTCATGTTGATATCTTTTATAGTTTAGAGTTATGTTACGGACAAAGTTCAAAGTGCTAAAATTAACAAATGGCGATAACTCCAAAATTAAGCAAAAAGGAGTTATGGTTCTTGTGCACTGCACATCTACCCATTGAGATCTATTTACCTACAAAGTTTTATGTTGACATCTCTTATAGTTTTAGAGTTATGTCCCGGACAAGATTTTTCTAATAGGGGAGTAATTCAAAAACCAGGCAAAATAGAGTTATGGTTCTTTCACAATGCACTCCCTCTTAATGCCCTCTGCCACTGTATAAAGTTTAAATAAATTATCTCCAAGGGTTTTCAAGTTATGCTCTGGACAAGACAACGGAGGGACAGACAAGATGGCAACTATATGCTCTCCCTTTGTTCAATCGATATACGCTAAACCTTCAAAATTTGTTCTTTTTGCCCTAATGCAACTTTTCGAAATGCGAATTATCTAAATCATACATGTATATTTTGCTGTGTCAAAGTGGTGCTGAAGACAGCTAAGGGTGTCCATTTTTTGTGTTACCGATATTCTTGTATAACCTGTTGAATTTGTATAATGGATTTGCCCTGCTTTGGAACAGTCCATTCAAGGTTAAGGGGTTTCAATATTAAGATATCAATAATTGAGCTACCTTCAGAATAGGGCATGGTCAGTGTACACGCTGTACAGGATTTCATGGCCTTTGGCCATTCAGTTTTGCTTCCAACAGGTTAAGTTTTAAATCTTTTGAATTCATAACTATTGTCACAATAAAATCATTATTGATGCAAAGATTTATTTTGTCTATAGGGTCGTGACAAAATCTTAACAGAGCTGGTGAAAGCAGAAACCCGACTGAAAGCCTTGCAGCCTCTCAGATATAAGGAATATGTGCTGGTAGCAGGTGCTGGCAAAAATGAGCAATTTACAGATGAAATTCTGAAAACTCTGTCCGCAGAAAAAATTCTGGAATTTTCTAAAATATTCACTCATTACTTAAAAGATTTGTCAAATACAAATGGACGGTCATTGATGAGTATATTGAAGCTTATGCAATCAAGGGTTTGTATATATTTTAACAATTATATAGATGAGTCTTAAAGCAGCATGCCTCATATATTAATAACAGTTTTAAAACAGAATTTTGGCATAGAGTTTCCATGATATGTTTTATAATTTTTTTTTATTAACTGTACACAATAATAGGGGCAGTAACTCTTGTTTGATAAAAGAAATAACAAACATATACCGGTAGGTGTTTGTTACATACTTTTGATAAATAGGGACAAATAAATTTATTATCTTGAGTAATCATTTGCTTGACATTTTCTTTAATTATTCAGGGACTGTAACTCATGTTTGATTGACTTTTTTCTTTTATTAAACAGGGGGAGTAACTTTTGTTTGATTGACTTTTTTATCAGGGGCAGTAACTCTTGTTTGATTGACTTTTTCTTTTATCTATCAAAATAAAGTGCAGTAACTTGTTTAATTGACTTTTTCTTTATTTATCAGGAGCAGTAACTCTTGTTTAATTGATTTTTTCCTTTTTTATCAGGGGCAGTTACTCTTGTTGGATATTGGCAGTGACAAGATTATTGTGGATATAGAGTACATGATTCATCTTGAAGCAAATCTATGGCAGCTATTACCAGCAGATCTTATCAAGATTAATACCACAGTAACATGTATTGGTGATAGCAGCCATGTTTGGGAGCATAAGTCTGTAGAGACAAAGATACTGGGTGAAATACCAGGAGCTGGTGATAAAGAAGACAAGGTAACCAAGTACCCCTCCCAAAAAATGTGAAGAATTTTATCTGTAGAATGTTAAATAGAGGATATTAAATGAGTATAAGTTTAATACTGAACCAGTTGAATAAAATTATATTATGCAAGCCTCTGGCGAGCATATTATTTTATTCAAATAAATTTAGAAATAAACTTACACGAGTTTAAAATTTATAGTATAACGCTTACATTTAGCTCATATCTTTACGCTATGTTTTAAAACGCAAATGACGTCGCGTCAAAATATATGCACGGCTGTGTAATACCATTTTCACAGAGTCGCAAAATAGGCAGGGGTATGTGATACACTTGCTTATCAAGCAAGTCTCTTGTGCATTATAGAGCATTCCCTATCAAGGGCCCCTTTTATTTATTACATAATGAATAAATACATATAATATCTAAATACAAAATGTATGGTTGTTACTCACATGAGATAAAGCTATTTGTCTGTTTAGTTGAAATTTAGACCATTTCAAGAAGAAAAATCCTTTTAGGATGAATGACCACAAAATGATATGGACACATTTATACAAAATCTGGACAAAAGTAGTTTATGTTAAAATTGTCTGACATTTCATTCTGCTATTTTTTATTCTTCTTTTTTTAAAATGAACAGATGAACCTAATTTTCTTTATTTTTTGTTTGTTTTATTTTTACTGTAATTTTGAAATCTTTTTAGAAATTGTAAGGTATGATTGATTGAACTAACTAATGCATTGAGGGACTATCTGTAAAACTGAAATATAAACAATTTGATATTACCTGCATTACATAAAACCCAACAAAAAACAAAACCCTTGATCATTTTTAGTGATTATGAATATTTTATTGCTCTGATATTTTTAAATTTTCACATTTTTCTATAAGCTTTGATAAAATTCTAATGTCAGAGTTGTCTGCATAATATCTGTTTACAGAAGAAGGTATTGTGGTTGTTACTGGAGAAGAGTCTAGGACTTATAAGAGTCCCCTGCCTGAGGACGAAACCTGAAGAAGAACATTCCGTCTTTGTAATTCAACAAAATGTGTCCAGTCCACCTCAACCTTTGGTAAATTTTATACCAGTCTATTTTGAGAATAGAAAAACTTGAATTTGTACACCAGTCTATGTATTTGGGAATTGTCATCAGTCAGTTGTAGATTCCTCTATTTGTGTAATGGATTTGCCCTGTTTTGAATTTGGAACAGTTTAAGAGATTTAAAAATCAAAATACAAAAATTGAGCTCTCAACAGTATAGAGCCTGGTGGTCAGACTCTGCCGCAGCACAGATGTGCAGGCTTGACTGGTTCTATACTGGTGACAAAGGAGAATCTCTGTCAAGTAAAGGGTTAATCATTCACCAGTTTTTCTCAGACTGGTTAGATAATTTCTTTTGTTTGTTATTGAAATAAAACTTATGCATACTTCTCAAAGTAGGATGATCCTCTGTAACTACAATGTATATAGTATTTATTTGACAATTACAAAATGTTGGTATTATTTTCTGAGTGAGCCTAAAATAAAGTCGAAATGATGTTTGATGTTTGTTTCTGTCAATAAAGTTATTTAAATCCAAACCAAATTAACACCTCAACCCCATATTTTTTTAAAAAATTTATTCTATTATTTCAGAATGACTACTGGACACCTAGCAAAGATTCTACAAATTACGTTGTTATGAAACAGAAGTATACATTCCCCCTCGGTTTACCAGATTATATTCTTCCACTCATCATATCAAACACAAACAAATTTGGTCACATGATAGTAATGTCTGGAGGAGGCGTGGTTTATCAAAATGGGGCGGTCCAAACTGTCATCATCAAGGAGGAGATTCATGGTTGGTTGATTTATTTGCATATATTACAAACTAAATCAATCAATAATATTATATATGTGCATATTAATATTTAATACATGCTAAATATTGTAGACATTATTTCATTTGTTATAAAATAAAATGGTATGAACTATTTCTTTTTTTTTTTCTAGATAAAGAATTTATTTAAGAATTCAGATTTTTGGAAAGTTTGTTCTGATTTTATAGCCTTGCATTCAAACAAATCATACAAAGGTTTTTTTGTTTTTGTTTTTAATTATTTTTGTTAATATACCACCACTGGATATTAAATTCATTTACGTGTGAACAAATTTTATTACAGGGATGGATACTATTGTCCTTGAATCATGGTGTTACATGCCAAATCTGGACACCCTGGATGACTCAAGAATGTCAAAATTAACGCCCTCCTATGTCAAGGACTATACTTGGAATATTTTCTGTATCTTCACTGATATTGTTGATGACCTTCTACAAAGGTCAAGAATTGTTCCTATGGTAACAAAAGATTTCCCAAAAGACCTTGGTGAGTATGTTTATATTCAAATTTTAGCTATTTAAATACAATCTAATTTTCGAGTACTGTTTTAAGGTGAAGTGATCGTTTTCTGTGTAAAACATCAGTTGATGACATTATTGGTTCATTACAGTAATACAATAAGGTTTCATAATTAAGTTTGCAATCACCTGTTCTTTTAAACAAGAACGTGATACAAAATTTACAGAATTTGTTCAAACTGCTGATGGATGGACTAAAGTGTTATAAGATATGAAATTTTATTTATTCAGTGAACATCTCTGTTGGTTGCAAGCACACATGGGTGAACAATGCAGATTGTTCTGTTGTTCAGTCTGTTTGTACAATGTGTAACCATTGCTGTGGTAACAGGGAAGACTGTCCTTGGAATGGTATTATGGGAGAGTATCTACGACAGAGTGGTTGCTGTGCAGACACATCAGGCTGTCAGGGTTGTGGTATATGCATTCCTTGTGCACAAGAGTTATGGGTAAGAGTCCTTGAATCATTTTAACTTGTTTATAGATTCATGTCTACTGTTAAACCATAGCTGTAACCTAGTAGTAGGATGTTTGATTAGCAATTAGAGAGTTGCCGAACATTTCTCAGTGCTGATATGATTCTCAGTGGAATTCACATGCCTAGCAAAAAGGGAGTGGTCAGACTTAGTCTAATTAAAAGAATGTCAGGCTAGAAAAGAGGATGTCATACCAGATGAATTCTTAGCGATAGAATGTCTGACTTGCAATGAAGATTGAGATATTTGTGATAACAAGGGAAACATTTTTGAACAATTGTGTTGCATGTCACATTGCAAAAAATACCTTGATCCAAATTCATGTGCAAATAGTCATGTCACTATACACACAGCCATGCTTGTTTCTTCAGTCAGGTTAATGGCACAAAGTTAATATCTTGTATAGCCATGCTACATACCATTATAGTGAATGTAATGTAATGACATGTAACATGGCATATAGTTAATGTCATGTACAAATATGTTACATGGCATATAGTTAATGTAATATACTGACATGTAACATGGCATATAGTTAATGTAATGTACAGACATGTAACTTGGCATATAGTTAATGTCATGTACAGATATGTAACATGGCATATAGTAAATGTAATGTACAGACATGTAACATGGCATAAAGTTAATGTCATGTACAGATATGTAACATGGCATATAGTAAATGTAATGTACAGACATGTAACATGGCATAAAGTTAATGTCATGTACAGATATGTTACATGGCATATAGTAAATGTAATGTACAGACATGTTACATGGCATATAGTTCATGTCATGTACTGACATGTAACATGGCATATAGTTAATGTCATGTACAGATATGTTACATGGCATATAGTAAATGTAATGTACAGACATGTTACATGGCATATAGTTCATGTCATATACTGACATGTAACATGGCATATAGTTAATGTCATGTACAGATATGTTACATGGCATATAGTAAATGTAATGTACAGACATGTAACTTGGCATATAGTTAATGTCATGTACAGATATGTTACATGGCATATAGTAAATGTAATGTACAGACATGTTACATGGCATATAGTTAATGTCATGTACAGATATGTTACATGGCATATAGTAAATGTAATGTACAGACATTTTACATGGCATATAGTTCATGTCATGTACTGACATGTAACATGGCATATAGTTAATGTCATGTACAGATATGTTACATGGCACATAGTTTATGTGATGTACAGTCATGTTAGATGCCACATAGTTAATGTCATGTACAGTCATGTTAAATGAACAAACTTAATATCTTGTACAGTAATGTTACATATCACACAGTAAAATGTGCTTCTTTAATTGATATAACAAGATCTGCATTTACAATACCATGTCAAAATGCATTTAGCAAGATGTTATTTTATCAATTTTTATACCCCCGCACAACAAAGTTGTAAGGGGGGTATACTGGAATCAGCTTGTCCGTCCGTCCGGCCGTCCGTCTGGCCGTCCGTCCGGCCGTCCGTCTGTCGGTTTTTTCTTGTCCGCCCAATAACTTAAGATTCCTTTGACCCTTAGTCTTCATATTTGGCATGGAGGTTAGTCATGATTAGTAGATGACCCCTATTGATTTTGAGGTCACTAGGTCAAAGGTCAAGGTCACAGGGGCCTTGACTTCAAAAATCTTGTCCGTCCATTCACTTAAGATTCCTGTGACCTACAGTCGTCATATTTGGCATGGAGGTTAGTCATGATTAGTAGATAATCCCTATTGATTTTGAGGTCACTAGGTCAAAGGTCAAGGTCACAGGGGCCTTGACTTCAAAAAGCTTGTCCACCCAATAACTTAAGATTCCTTTGACCCACAGTCTTCATATTTGGCATGGAGGTAAGTCATGATCAGTACATGACCCCTATTGATTTTGAGGTCACCAGGTCAAAGGTCAAGGTCACAGGGGCCTTGACTTCAAAAAGCTTGTCCGCCCAATAACTTAAGATTCCTTTGACCCACAGTCTTCATATTTGGCATGGAGGCTAGTCATGATAAGTAGATGACCCCTATTGACTTTGAGGTCACCAGGTCAAAGGTCAAGGTCACAGGGGCCTTGACTTCAAAAAGCTTGTCCGCTCAATAATTTAAGTTTCCTTTGACCCACAGTCTTCATATTTGGCATGGAGGTTAGACATGATTAGTAGATGATCCCTATTGACTTTGAGGTCACCAGGTCAAAGGTCAAGGTCACAGGGGCCTTGACTTCAAAAAGCTTGTCCGCCCTATAACTTAAGATTCCTTTGACCCACAGTATTTATTTTTGGCATGGTGGTTAGTCATGATGACCAGATGACCCCTATTGATTTTGAGGTCAAAGGTCGAGGTCACAGGGGCCTTGACAAAAAAAAGCTTGTCGGACCAACAACTAAAGATTCTATTAAACCACAGTCGTTATATTTAACATAGAGGTCAGTCATGATTAGAAGATGACCCCTATTAATTTTGAGGTCACAGGGTCAAAGGTCAAGGTCACAGGGGCCTTGACTAAAAAGTTTGTCCACCTAATAACTTATAAATTCTTTGACCCACTGTCTTCATATTTGACATGGAGGTAGATCATGAACATTAAGTGACTCCTATTGATTTTGAGGTCACTGGGTCAAAGGTCAAGGTCATAGGGACTTTGACTTCAAAAAGTTTGTCCACCCTTAAGATTTCTTAGACCCACAGTCTTCATATTTGGCATGGATGTTGATCATGACTATAAGGTGACCCCTATTGATTTTGAGGTCACTGGGTCAAAGGTCAAGGTCACAGGGACCTTGACAAAAAAAAAAGCTTTTCTTCTCAATTGCTTAAGAATGTCCTGTCCGCAATGAATTGATTTTGACATTTTCACATTTGAAGCATGTAGAATACATAACTTAGCAATGCACTGGCTTAGTAACCTCAGATTTGGCAGGGAGGTTGTCCTTGAGCTCTAAATGGCCACTGTTGATTCTGACAAAGTGGTATGCGGGGGTATTCACGCCATGATAGTGGCAGTTCTAGTTACATTTTTAGAGCCACATTTGATTAAATAATTTCTTCATATAGATGTCTATGTACAATATTACACTTCAGTATATATTTCAAGGCATTTATTTGATCTTACTCGGGGTATACGGTCTTGGTTGCGGCCATACGGTAACATTTATTTTATCTCACATAGGATATACGGTCTTGGTTACGGCCATGCGGTAACATTTATTTTATCTCACACAGGGTATACGGTCTCGGTTATGGCCATACGGTAACCTTTATTTGATCTCACATAGGATATATGGTCTTGGTTACAGCCATGCGGTAACCTTTATTTGATCTCACATAGGATATACGGTCTTGGTTACGGCCAGGCGGTAACATTTATTTTTTCTCACACAGGGTATACGGTCTCGGTTACGGCCATACGGTAACATTTATTTTATGTCACACAGGGTATACGGTCTAGGTTACGGCCATACGGTAATGCCATTACAGAGATAGAGTTGAACATTGCTGAGAAAACAAGGATTTTAAAGCCTGGTGAGGAGAGTAAGCAGAAATTGAGGGATCCCCTGAAACAATCAGTCATGCCATTAGACCCCTTCATCTTTAATGAAATAGAATTTACAAATCTGTCTTCTGAAAACAAATTAATTTGTCTCAGAGAGTAAGTATGATGGTTTGCGTCTAGTTTAAATTTGACTTAAAAAATATTAATTCTAACACTACCGGAGATTACCTTTATGTAAACAAAGAAGGCCGGAAGCATGATATATTTCACAGCAAATACACTTATTTTTTTTATTTCTCTCTCTATATGTAGGGGTTTTGATCAGGGATGTCACGGTTAGAAAAAATGCTAACTGTTCAAACGGTGACCTAATAATTGTTTTAAACCTTTTAACCGGCATTATCAATAAAATCCTTAGATTTTCAACATAAACTTTGTTTCTTTATGACAAGACATGACATTTTGTTTGTATTTTGCTGTACTCAGAATGATTACAATATATGTCTGAATATGGTGTAATTATATTATAAAAATGTTGTTTTAATTGTTGCAGAATCTTGTTACAATATCTGTTATTAAGATGTCTGAAAGGTTATATTGTTAAAGTTTAAACAGTTGTATGTTTGAACCACTTACCATAGCTTATATGGCAAACAATCATTAAATGCATTTAAACAACTGGTTGAATAGAATTTTTAACAAGTTATATGACCAAGTTTAAACAGTTGTAAGCTTATGTAGTTTGAACCACCTAGCATGTGTTATATGGCCAATAACCATTATACAAGACTAGTGGTCATAAAGATTTATTTTTTTTTGACATGTTATATGACCAAGCTTAAACAGTTGTTAACTTATGTAATTTGAACCATTATACTTAGATTATATGGCTAACAACCATTTATACAACTAGTTATAAAGATTATTTTTTTTGGTGAGGTTATATGGCCCAATTTAAACAGGTGTAATCTTATGTAACATAAGCTGCTTAATGTGGAATATATGGCTAAAACTATATAACCTACTGGAAATAATGGATATTGACAGGTTGTATGGCCAAATTTAAACATAAGTTAGCAGCTTAGAGCAAGCATTACATTGCATCAGGCTAACAACTGTTTAAAACGTCTTTATAACAAATTTCATAATTAGTTTCTTTCAATGGAATAGAAATTAATTCATAAATTTATATCAGTCAAATATAAAGATATTGATATATAAACAATGCAATTATCCAATGAAAATTGGTGTTACATATGGACCTAATAAAGAGATAGAGGATATTTGTTTGTTTTGCATGTAAGATTGAAATATAATTTCACTGAGTGAACACCAGATGCAATATTTTCACGAGTGGCGTAGCCACGAGTGAAAATATAATAGCTGGTGTTCACGAATGAAATATATTTCAATCTTATATGTAAAATAAATAAATTTTCTTTTTATTTCATGCTTTTTAAGTGATTTTAAGTACTTTTTACTGATTTTGCCGCGTAACGTCGCGCATTCTCCTTTTTGACGTCATCACATCATGATGTCACATCATCAATTTTGAAATATAGTTCTGTTCAATTTCTCTAACTTTGTTACATTTTTAACATGATGTATGGTGACATTAACTTTATTTTCCTAAAGAAGCAAAATTTACGCATGACGGAATTTATTTTTGCCTGTTATTCCATTTAATTATGATTTTCTTTTCATCCGCATTCAGATATAGTTCGGCTACAGTGAACATTATATTTTATAAATTTCACTAGTGGTTTATCAAAATATAATCATCTGATATGTTAAAATAAAACACTGGAAAGCATGAAATAAATAATTTTTTTACACAGGGAATCAGATGGTACGATACTGAAGGCTTTCCCAGGTGTTGCAGCCAGTGTAAAAGATTTAAATACAGCCAATTTACCTGGAAAATTACCAAATCTACTAAGTAATGGAGATCAAATCAAACTGAAGATAACAGATCCACTGGTAATATATGAAATATATAGATATAGATACTTTTTAGCTCGCCTTTTGAAGAATCGTCATTGTCAGCGTTGGCATTACCACTTTTGTTGAAGTTTTCATACCACCTCAAGTATTTTTAAAGTCCATTGACATGTGGCTTTGAACCTTTGTACACTACCTCAACCTATAGACAGAAGTAGGTAACTCTATCAATTTTTTTGACAGAATTATGCTCCTTTTTCAACTTAGAATTCAGGTTAATGTTTGCCTACTACATCAGATATTTTCAAAGTCCATTTTCATATGGCTTTGAAACTTTGTACACTTGTGCACCATCATGCCCCTAAGCTATACACATAGGAGATGACTGTATCAAAAATAAAATTATGCCCCTTTTTCCACATAGAATTTGCCTGACAGTTTGCGGACCACCTCAAATATTTTCAAATTCCATAGACATATGGCTTTGAACCTTGCACACTTGTTCACCATCAGGCCCCTAAGCTGTACACAGGAGAAAGTCACTACATCAAGCATTTTAACAGAATTTTACTATGAAAATTTCGTTAAAGTTTGCTTACTACCTCAAATATTTCAATTAGCTTTACTTTTAATATAGAAGAAATGATTTCACAAGCACTTTTTGTCACATTGTTGCCTGTTGCTGAAAAAATGCCCAAACATGCACTTTTTTCCCTTCTGTACTTTTATTGACAATCTGAAAAGACACTCAATTGATGTGCCAAATAATTAAATGATTTTTCTAGAAAGTAATTTTTATTTACTTAAAATTATATAAGACATGGGCTTTATGGGAGTATGTTCTTTTATTTTATTTTGTTTGTTTGAAAATAATAATTATAGATCTTGAATAAGATCATTAAAACACTTGTATTTTGAATGTTATAATGAGTTCGTTATACCAAATGTGCCAAACGCGTTGAAATTCATGTCGATAAACAATCCAGTTTTGAGCACCTAAATCCAGCTAAAAAATCCAGTTTTGGTCACATGTATTGGTAGAAAGGTGTGTAGTCAAATAATTGTCTAGGGGTTTAGGCAGAATGGTTTGATGGTGGGGTGTAGGTTGAAGTGATAGCAGTTTTCAAGAGGAGTGGGGAGTGGTAGTGGTTTTGGGGTAGTGTTTAGAGTATTTTTTTATTTGCGTAGTGGTTTTGAGTGGTGGTGGTTTTCGGGTAGGGGTTAGAGTAATGTTTTTTTTTTGTGATGTGGTTTTAAGTGGTAGTAGTTTGTGAGTGGAGATGTAGGTGCAGTGGGGGTAGGGGTTAGAAGTTAGTGGTTTGTTGATGGGGGTTTGAAAATTATTTTTTTTTAGTCATATTGATAAAAAAAATTTTTTTAGCATATATTTGTGAATTTACATTATTAGACTGTATTATCTTTGGCAATACATTACAAAATTTTGAACAGCTATATGAAACAGTTAATTACAGTATTGTTGTAACAAAATTAATGTTAAAAAAATGAGTTATGAGGTAAGTTTTGATTGACTGTAATACAGGGAGTAAAGTTGTAATTTGAATAATATTGGTATACAATGTATTTGATATAGGGAGCATCCTTGCTGCCATCAGAAGAGTCTAAAAAAGGAACAGACAGACTTCAAATAGAGCCTCAATACTTTGCATCTATTGGTCGAGAGGTCAAGGTCATACATGAATCTGGAATAGTAGTGTAAGTATTGTATTTTACTTGCTACATTATTACATATGACATTCATGGCAGTGAGGTCAAGGCCACTTGACATTGCATTAGACCCACACTACGAAGGAGTAAGGGGGGTATACTGGAATCAGCTTGTCCGTCCAGTCTTCATGTTGGCATGGAGGTTAGTCATGACTAGTAGATAATCCCTATTGATTTTGAGGTCACTAGGTCAAAGGTCAAGGTCACAGTGGCCTTGACTAAAAAAAGATTGTCCGCCCAATAACTTAAGATTCCTTTGACCCACAGTCTTCATATTTGGCATGGAGGTTAGTCATGATTAGAAGATGACCCCTATTGATTTTGAGGTCACTGAGTCAGAGGTCAAGGTCACAGTGGCCCTGACTTAAAAAAGCTTGTCCGCCCAATAACTAGATTTCTTTGACCCACAGTCTTCATATTTAGCATGAAGGTTAGTCATGATTAGTAGATGACCCCTATTGATTTTGAGGTCACTCGGTCAAAGGTCAAGGTCACAGGGGCCTTGTCTAAAAAAAGCTTGTCCGCCCAATAACTTAAGATTCCTTTAACCCACAGTCTTCATATTTGGCACGAATGTTAGTCATGATTAGTAAATGACCCCTATTGATTTTGAGGTCACTGGGTCAAAGGTCAAGGTCACAGGGACTTTGACTTCAAAAAGTTTGTTCACCAAATTACTTAAGAAACCTTTGACCCACAGTCTCCATATTTGGCATGGAGGTTGATCATGACCATTAGGTGACCCCTATTTATTTTGAGGTCACTGGGTCAAAAGTCAAGGCCACAGGGGTGGTCAACAGAGTGCTTTGGTCAACAGTCTTCATATTTAATATTGAGGTTGTTTATGACTAGTAGATGGCCCCTTTTGATTTTTAGTTGACTGTGTCAAAGGTCAAGGTCACGGGGATTTTTACTATAATAAGTTTGTGTGCTCAAATGCTTAATAATGCCTGTCCGCAGTGTATGGATTTTGACATTTGAAGCATGTAGAATACATAACTTAGCAATGCACTGGCTTAGTAACCTAAGATTTGGCAGGGATGTTGTCCTTGAGCTCTAAATGGCCACTGTTGATTCTGACAAAGTGGTATGCGGGGGTATTCACACCATGACAATGGCATTTCTAGTTAAATTTATAAATTATTACATGTGACATTCATTGAAGTGAGGTCAATGTCACTTGACAATGCATTAGAGGATGTTTCATTTTATAAATTATTATATATAACATTCTTTGCAGTGGGGTCAAGGTCACTTGACATTGCATTAGAAGAAGTTTGTTCTTCTTGAATATTGGTACAGTATTCAGTTAGATTACTGCCCACTCCTTCATGGAGCAGGCACTATATAAATGAACAAAACTGACTTAAATTTAAAGTCCTCAGCAACATTTATGATATTGTAAATAAATAATGAAATCTAATAAGTTTAAATCACTTTATTAATGGAAACACATAAAAATTATCTTGACAATTCCATGCTATTTTTGTATCATACAGGTATGATTCACCATCCACGGCTATTCCTGTTGGTCAGCTGATAGCTGTACGACCAATGACAAAGGAGTTTGACAATTTCTCCATTCGTAAGTATTTTATCATGCATATATATGTGTATCAATATTCAGGTTATGTAAAAAAAAAACAGGGCACAATGTTTTTATGTCAAATGATGAACAATGCATAATTATGTGTTTTGAATTAAAAAAAAAAACACTTGCCCCTCTCCGCAGTGGGCTCCAATCCCGACAGGACTTTGGATTCTTTCATGTGAGGAAGCTATCCAGCTAGCTTATGGAACATGGGTGGTTCTACTTAGGTGCCTGTTCATGCCTGAAATAACCTGAGGTCTTCCTCCACCAGTAAAGCTGGAACGTCCCCATATGACCTATACTGAGTCGTTGTGACGTTAAACCCAATCAAACAAACAAACAATTTAAAACAGATAACTAGTCATGTTTTTATGTCAGAGTAAACTATTTATTTTGATTAAAGGTGTAAATTTCTAAATAATGCAAGATATTCATGTGCTGTATTCATAATGAAGATGGTATGTACTTACTTAATGTAAAAAAAAATGAAGAAAGCATACAGTTATATTTTCAATTAAAAGAATAACTAGTTTCCATGTTTTTATAGATAAAATAATTAATTTGTTAATCATTTCTTCTGCACAAGTATTTCAGTAAGTTTTTACCATTTGCAGGAGTTTTAGCAGTTGGTAAATCAAGTACCATTGCTATGGGCTTAGCACCACAGAACTACGCCCCAAACCGACAGCCAGGCTGGAATTCTCAATCCATTGGCTACCATGCAGATGATGGAGGGTATGATACCCATTTCTTGTTTGATTCATAATCTTTACCCTGATCCCACAGACTTATCTACCTGAATTTTTAAAATGGACTTGTCCAGCTTCCATACTTGGAACTGTCTATAGTCAATTATGGGGAAATCAAGATGAATTTAATGTTAGTCAGCCAACAGTATAGACACTGGTCAGACAGCATGTATGTGCAGAATGGCTTGGCCCTATACTTGTGGCAAAGGCTTTTGACTTTTGGTTTCAGCAAGTAATGGTTAAAGAAATAGCAGCTATGCCACTAGTATTAGATTGGTGAATATGAATATCATTTTTGACTGAATTATTGCCCTTTGATTTTTTTTTAAGCAGAAAACCAGATTTTGCAACAAATTCTTGTTACATGTTTTACATTTTTACAATGAAATCATTTCCTGATAATGGGATGTTTCAAAATATAACAAAATAACATAAACAGTTTCAGATCAGACTGTACACAAACCAAACTCCTGTGATCAGTACATTGCAAATACTGTCAAATCTTCAACATGTTATGAATATTGTGTAATGTGCCCTAAACCTGTAGAATATGTGATGTGATTATGCTCTGCTTTGAATTAGGGCTATTCCATTTGTGCAAGTTGGCCAGGTTGTATACTAGAGGCGTCAAAAGGCAACCTAATAACCGAGTTAAATGTTAAACAGATCATACAAAACTCTTTGATTTTGAATATTAACTTTGTTTCCTTATGACATGATTTGACATTTACCGGTAGTTCATATTTTGTTGACTCATCAAACTATTATGTTCCAGCAAGTTAACGGATAAAAACAAATTTTGACTTGATACTTTTCTCATTTTATTTTCAGGATTTATCTGGAATCGGGCTATGCTACAAGAAAAACACAGAAATGTCAAGTTGGTGATATAATGTCCTTTTACATCGACTTTGCCAAGAACAAAGGCTTCTTTAGAAAGAATGGAGAGAAAATGATTGAGTTAAATTTGAACTTTAACAAACTAGCGTGTTATCCTACGATAGGATTGCACTCTCATGGGGAAGCTGTGGAGATCCTAGAGAAAGAATTTTGGATTCCAAAAACAGAGCAAGAAGTGAGTTAAACTTATTTGTATTAAAGATGCTAAATGAAAATTGTTGGGTACAATAAGGTGGATTTACAGTGGTTTTTATTTTATTTTCAAAAACTAAAAAGTAGATATATGTTTTGTTCTTAAGTAGCCAGAGTGGAGAGCTGTGGCCTTGTTGGTAAGGTGTCTGGGTCTCATACAAGGGGTCATGGGTTCAAGCCCTACTGGAGTCATGAGATTTCAGTACTGGTTAGTTTCCAGGAAGTGAACCCTTTGAAGTTGTTTGAATAAGTATTAGACCAGGGCATTGTACATCTGTGCCATTTGTTTATGGTATGATGATCTGCTATGATTGTTATTCAGTCGGTACTAATGTTTTAGAATTTTCCCTAACAATATCAATGGTCTTGTCCAGTTTTTGAAAAATGAAGAAGTTGATTAAAGATATTAAGCTTTTCAAATGTTAAACTTTCATTACAAACAACTTTCGATAAGTATGTTTAAACCAAGAACCATGGATGTGTAGATGTCGGATGAAAACTAAATGAAGAATTCGCAATCTGATAATTTAATGGTTGATATGTCTATATAACTAGTAATGGTGAATGTGATTATAGGTAATTGCCATTACAATCATATATAAATACATGTACAGTGTGACTTCTGAATTCTGAAACTACTAAAATCTAGAAACTTCTGAAATCTGAACAAATATCAGTGTCCTGAAATTTCTCCTGTTTTCTATGAAGTTCACACTACTTCAGAATTCTGGAACTTTTAAATTCTGAATTCCGTAAGATTTTTTGGGTAATATTTATTACAATTTACTTCCAAAATCCGGAAATTGAAAAGATGTGACGGATTATTATACTTGAGACTGCAGACTTTGTCTGATGGAGTCTGAATTTGAGGGATAATGAAAAAGTGAACTTCTAAATTCCTGAAACTTTCAAAATATAAACCTTTTTGGCTAGTCCCACAGGTGCTCGGTTTTCAGAAGTTACACTGTATTCATTATTTTCTGAATATAAATTCACAATATCATTATTCAAGTCAAACATTTCTTATTTTAAATGATATTTACAATTTTTTTTCTGTTTCAGAGCAATTACACTCCACCTGCCTATGCGACATACAAATATGGGAATCTCTGGATCAGGTAATGTTTTCCTTGATAATTAACACATACTGTATAAATTATATATCTGTAAATTATATACATTTGTATTTGTAAATAATATATATATATCCAACATGTAAAGTTTTGAAACAATACGGAAAGAATGAAGCGATTGCAATTGTTTATTAACAAAACTGTAATAATAATTGAAGGTTCAACATTCATTAACATTTTTTGGGGGAAAGCAAAACTTTTCATCAATTAAGACAGGTAAAAGAATGTACTTGTAGAAAATCTTTTTCTTACTCGAAATGTTGATGAAATGTCTGAATGTTAATGAAAATGTGGGTGTAATGTCTGAATGTTGATGAAAATGTTGATGAAATGTCTGAATGTTGATGAAAACGTGGGTGTAATGTCTGAATGTTGATGAAAATGTTGGTGTAATGCCTGAATGACGATGAAAATGTTGATGTAATGCCTGAATGTTGATGAAAATGTAGGTGTAATGTCTGAATGTTGATGAAAATGTTCGTGTAATGTCTGAATGTTGATGACTAATGTAGGTGTAATGTCTGAATGTTGATGAAAATGTGGGTGTAATGTCTGAATGTTGATGAAAATGTTGGTGTAATGTCTGAATGTGGATGAAAAATGTTGGTGTAATGTCTGAATGTTGATGAAAAATGTGGGTGTAATGTCTGAATGTTGATGAAAAATGTATGTGTAATGTCTGAATGTTGATAAAAAATGTGGGTGTAATGCCTGAATGTTGATGAAAATGTGGGTGTAATGTCTGAATGTTGATGAAAATGTGGGTGTAATGCCTGAATGTTGATGAAAAAGTTGGTGTAATGTCTGAATGTGGATGAAAAAGTTGGTGTAATGTCTGAATGTTGATGAAAAATGTAGGTGTAATGTCTGAATGTTGATGAAGATGTGGGTGTAATGTCTGAATGGTGATGAAAATGTGGGTGTAATGTCTGAATATTGATGAAAATGTATGTGTAATGACTGAATGTTGATGGAAATTTGGGTGTAATGTCTGAATGTTGATGAAAGTGTGGATGCAATGCATGAATGTTGATAAAAATGTAGGTATAATGTCTGAATGTTGATGAAAATGTGGGTGTAATGTCTGAATGTTGATGAAAAATGTAGGTGTAATGCCTGAATGTTGATGAAAAATGTTGGTGTAATGTCTGAATGTTGATGAAAATGTATGTGTAATGACTGAATGTTGATGGAAATTTGGGTGTAATGCCTGAATGTTGATGAAAGTGTGGATGCAATGCATGAATGTTGATAAAAATGTAGGTATAATGTCTGAATGTTGATGAAAATGTGGGTGTAATGTCTGAATGTTGATGAAAATGTTGGTGTAATGCCTGAATGTTGATGAAAATGTAGGTGTAATGCCTGAATGTTGATGAAAATGTATGTGTAATGTCTGAATGTTGATGAAAGTGTGGGTGTAATGTCTGAATGTTGATGAAAATGTGGGTGTAATGTCTGAATGTTGATGAAAATGTGGGTTGTAATTCTGAATGTTGATGAAAATGTTGGTGTAATGTCTGAATGTTTGATAAAAATGTGGGTGTAATGTCTAAATGTTGATGAAAAATGTAGGTGTAATGTCTGAATGTTGATGAAAATTGTGGTGTAATGTCTGAATGTTGATGAAAATGTGGGTGTAATGTCTGAATGTTGATGAAATGTTGGTTGTAATGTCTGAATGTTGATGAAAATGTGGGTGTAATGTCTAAATGTTGATGAAAAATGTAGGTGTAATGTCTGAATGTTGATGAAAATGTATGTGTAATGTCTGAATGTTGATGAAAATGTAGGTGTAATGCCTGAATGTTGATGAAAATGTATGTGTAATGTCTGAATGTTGATGAAAGTGTGGGTGTAATGTCTGAATGTTGATGAAAATGTTGGTGTAATGTCTGAATGTTGATGAAAAATGTAGGTGTAATGTCTGAATGTTGATGAAAATGTATGTGTAATGTCTGAATGTTGATGAAAATGTTGGTGTAATGCCTGAATGACGATGAAAATGTGGGTGTAATGCCTGAATGTTGATGAAAATGTATGTGTAATGTCTGAATGTTGATGAAAATGTAGGTGTAATGCCTGAATGTTGATGAAACTGTTGGTGTAATGTCAGAATGTTGATGAAAATGTGGTGTAATGTCTGAATGTTGATGAAAAATGTAGGTGTAATGTCTGAATGTTGAATGAAAATGTTGGTGTAATGTCTGAATGTTGATGAAAATGTGGGTGTAATGTCTCAATGTTGATGAAAATGTTGGTGTAATGTCTGAATGTTGATGAAAATGTTGGTGTAATGTCTGAATGTGGATGAAAATGTATGTGTAATGTTTGAATGTTGATGAAAAATGTAGGTGTAATGTCTGAATGTTGATGAAAATGTATGTGTAATGTCTGAATGTTGATGAAAATGTTGGTGTAATGTCTGAATGTTGATGAAAAATGGTGGGTTTGTAATGTCTCAATGTCGATGAAAATGTTGGTGTAATGTCTGAATGTTGATTGAAAATGTTGGTTTAATGTCTGAATGTGGATGAAAATGTATGTGTAATGTTTGAATGTTGATGAAAATGTAGGTGAAATGTCTGAATGTTGATGAAAATGTATGTGTAATGTCTGAATGTTGATGAAATGTTTGTTCTTTGTAATGCCTGAATGACGATGAAAAATGTAGGTGTAATGTCTGAATGTTGATGAAAATGTATGTGTAATGCCTGAATGTTATGAAAATGTAGGTGTAATGGCCTGAATGTTGATGAAAATGTTTGGTGTAATGTCTTGAATGTTTGATGAAATGTTGGTTGTAATGTCTGAATGTTGATGAAAATGTAGGTGTAATGTCTGAATGTTGATGAAAATGTTGGTGTAATGTCTGAATGTTGATGAAAATGTGGGTGTAATGTCTCAATGTTGATGAAAATGTTGGTGTAATGTCTGAATGTTGATGAAAAATGTTGTGTAATGTCTGAATGTGGATGAAAATGTATGTGTAATGTTTGAATGTTTGATGAAAATGTAGGTGTAATGTCTGAATGTTTGATGAAAATGTAGGTGTAATGTCTGAATGTTGGATGAAAATGTTGGTGTAATGTCTGAATGTTGATGAAAATGTGGGTGTAATGTCTCAATGTTGATGAAAATGTGGTTGTAATGTCTCAATGTGATGAAAATGTTTTGGTGTAATGTCTGAATGTGGATGAAAATGTATGTGTAATGTTTGGAATGTTGATGAAAATGTGGGTTGTAATGTCTGAATGTTGATGAAAATGTTGGTGTAATGTCTGAATGTTGATGAAGATGTGGGTGTAATGTCTGAATGGTGATGAAAATGTGGGTCGGGTGTAATGTCTAAATGTTGATGAAAATGTGGTGTGTAATGTCTGAATGTTGATTGAAAAATGTGGGTGTAATGTCTGAATGTTGATGAAAATGTATGTTGTAATGTGTCTGAATGTTGAATGAAAATGTGGGTGTAATGTCTGAATATTGATGAAAATGTATGTGTAATGACTGAATGTTGATGGAAATTTGGGTGTTATGTCTGAATGTTGATGAAAGTGTGGATGCAATGCCATGAATGTTGATAAAAATGTAGGTATAATGTCTGAATGTTGATGAAAATGTGGGTGTAATGTCTGAATGTTGATGAAAAATGTAGGTGTAATGCCTGAATGTTGATGAAAAATGTTGGTGTAATGTCTGAATGTTGATGAAAATGTTATGTGTAATGACTGAATGTTGATGGAAAATTTGGTGTAATGCCTGAATGTTTGATGAAAGTGTGGATGCAATGCATGAATGTTGATAAAAATGTAGGTATAATGTCTGAATGTTGATGAAAATGTGGGTGTAATGTCTGAATGTTGATGAAAATGTTGGGTGTAATGCCTGAATGTGATGAAAATGTAGGTGTAATGCCTGAATGTTGATGAAAATGTATGTGTAATGTCTGAATGTTGATGAAAGTGTGGGTGTAATGTCTGAATGTTGATGAAAATGTGGGGTAATGTCTGAATGTTGATGAAAAATGTAGGTGTAATGTCTGAATGTTGATGAAAATGTGGGTGTAATGTCTGAATGTTGATGAAAATGTGGGTGTAATGTCTGAATGTTGATGAAATGTTGGTTGTAATGTCTGAATGTTGATGAAAATGTGGGTGTAATGTCTAAATGTTGATGAAAAATGTAGGTGTAATGTCTGAATGTTGATGAAAATGTATGTGTAATGTCTGAATTTGAATGAAAATGTAGTGTAATGCCTGAATGTTGATGAAAATGTATGTGTAATGTCTGAATGTTGATGAAAGTGTGGGTGTAATGTCTGAATGTTGATGAAAATGTTGGTGTAATGTCTGAATGTTGATGAAAAATGTAGGTGTAATGTCTGAATGTTGATGAAAATGTATGTGTAATGTCTCTGAATGTTGATTGAAAATGTTGGTGTAATGCCTGAATGACGATGATTGAAAATGTGGGTGTAATGCCTGAATGTTGATGAAAATGTATGTGTAATGTCTGAATGTTGATGAAAATGTAGGTGTAATGCCTGAATGTTGATGAAAATGTATGTGTAATGTCTGAATGTTGATGAAAGTGTGGGTGTAATGTCTGAATGTTTGATGAAAATGTTGGTGTAATGTCTGAATGTTGATGAAAAATGTAGGTGTGTAAATGTCTGAATGTTGATGAAAATGTATGTGTAATGTCTGAATGTTGATGAAAATGTTGGTGTAATGCCTGAATGACGATGAAAATGTGGGTGTAATGTCTGAATGTTGATTAAAATGTTGGTGTAATGTCTGAATGTTGATGAAAATGTGGGTGTAATGTCTGAATGTTGATTAAAATGTTGGTGTAATGTCTGAATGTTGATGAAAATGTGGGTGTAATGTCTGAATGTTGATGAAAATGGTTGGTGTAATGTCTGAATGTTGATGAAAATGTGGTGTAATGTCTAAATGTTGATGAAAAATGTAGGTGTAATGTCTGAATGTTGATGAAAATGTATGTGTAATGCCTGAATGTTGATGAAAATATAGGTGAAATGCCTGAATGTTGATGAAAATATGGGTGTAATGTTTGAATGTTGATGAAAATGTTGATGAAATGTCTGAATGTTGATGAAAATGTAGGTGTAATGTCTGAATGTTGATGAAAATGTGGGTGTAATGCTTGAATGTTGATGAAAATGTGGGTGTAATGTCTCAATGTTGATGAAAATGTGGGTGTAATGTCTGAATGTTGATGAAAATGTTGGTGTAATGCCTGAATGACGATGAAAATGTAGGTGTAATGTCTGAATGTTGATGAAAATGTATGTGTAATGCCTGAATGTTGATGAAAATGTAGGTGTAATGCCTGAATGTTGATGAAAATGTTGGTGTAATGTCTGAATGTTGATGAAAATGTTGGTTGTAATGTCTGAATGTTGATGAAAATGTAGGTGTAATGTCTGAATGTTGATGAAAATGTTGGTGTAATGTCTGAATGTTGATGAAAATGTGGGTGTAATGTCTCAATGTTGATGAAAATGTGGGTGTAATGTCTGAATGTTGATGAAAATGTTGGTGTAATGTCTGAATGTGGATGAAAATGTATGTGTAATGTTTGAATGTTGATGAAAATGTGGGTGTAATGTCTGAATGTTGATGAAAATGTTGGTGTAATGTCTGAATGTTGATGAAAATGTGGGTGTAATGTCTGAATGTTGATTAAAATGTTGGTGTAATGTCTGAATGTTGATGAAAATGTATGTGTAATGTCTGAATGTTGATGAAAATGTTGGTATAATGTCTGAATGTTGATGAAAATGTGGGTGTAATGTCTGAATGTTGATTAAAATGTTGGTGTAATGTCTGAATGTTGATGAAAATGTGGGTGTAATGTCTGAATGTTGATTAAAATGTTGGTGTAATGTCTGAATGTTGATGAAAAATGTTGGTGTAATGTCTGAATGTTGATGAAAATGTTGGTGTAATGTCTGAATGTTGATGAAAATGTTGGTGTAATGTCTGAATGTTGATGAAAATGTTGGTGAAATGTCTGAATGTTGATGTAAATGTAGGTGTAATGCCTGAATGTTGATGAAAATGTGGTTGTAATGTCTGAATGTTGATGAAAATGTAGGTGTAATGTCTGAATTTTGATGAAAATGTTGGTTTTTGTAATGCCTGAATGTTGATGAAAATGTTGTGTAATGTCTGAATGTTGATGAAAATGTTGGTGTAATGTCTGAATGTTGATGAAAAATGTAGGTGTAATGTCTGAATGTTGATAAAATGTATGTGTAATGTCTGAATGTTGATGAAAATGTTGGTGTAATGCCTGAATGACGATGAAAATGTAGGTGTAATGTCTGAATGTTGATGAAAATGTATGTGTATGCCTGAATGTTGATGAAAATGTAGTGTAATGCCTGAATGTTGATGAAAAATGTTGGTGTAATGTCTGAATGTTGATTGAAAATGTTGGTGTAATGTCTGAATGTTGATGAAAATGTAGTGTAATGAGTCTGAATGTTGATGAAAATGTAGGTGTAATGTCTGAATGTTGATGAAAATGTAAGTGTAATGTCTGAATGTTGATGAAAATGTTGGTGTAATGTCTGAATGTTGATGAAAAATGTTGGTGTAATGTCTGAATGTTGATGAAAAATGTGGGTGTAATGTCTGAATGTTGATGAAAATGTTGATGTAATGCCTGAATGTTGATGAAAAATGTGGGTGTAATGTCTGAATGTTGATGAAAATGTTGGTGTAATGTCTGAATGTTGATGAAAATGTTGATGTAATGCCTGAATGTTGATGAAAATGTTGGTGTAATGTCTGAATGTTGATGAAAATGTTGGTGTAATGCCTGAATGACGATGAAAATGTTGATGTAATGTCTGAATGTTGATGAAAATGTGGGTGTAATGTCTGAATGTTGATGAAAATGTTGATGTAATGTCTGAATGTTGATGAAGATGTGGATGTAATGCCTGAATGTTGATGAAAATGTTGGTGTAATGCCTGAATGACGATGAAAATGTGGGTGTAATGCCTGAATGTTGATATACAAGCACTTAATTGTTAGTATTAAATTTTTTCTTGCAGTCCTGGTGACAAAGTGCCCTTGACTAGATTAAAGGATAACAAGTTGACTGGATGGATCATCCTCCATAATCCAATTAAAGATCCTGTTGGATTTAAGGTAAAGATAATTTCAAAAAAAATAATTATTTCTAGATTTTTTTCCTTTTAAAAGAGGGAGGGGGTTAAAATGGGGGAGAAAACAGATACTTGTTCAACTTCACATATCATGCTTAATTTATGTTTCCCGAGGGGTTTTCATTAATTGACCTATATCTAAGATATTTAATATCAGAAGAAAAACAAAACTGCTATGATTATGAAGATAGTAAAAATGTACTTGGATCTGTAGGCAACAGACATTTATCAATTCTGATATGATTTTATTTTTTTCTTAGGTACGAGTGGAAGGTGCAAAAGACTTGCAGTTCTTTGGTATCATTGACAACAAGAAAAACTGGTTAAAAGATCTGATTATAGAAAATGGTAATAAGCAAAAACTAATGAATTTTTTTAAAATTATTTTTTGATTAATATTAAGTAATTCTGGAAGGATTTTAATTTTGTCTTCACCAAACTCTTACTGAAAAAGATTTTGGGCTTGGATCAAGTGCAATCTCTGAAGTATGTTATTTTTTTTGTATTGAACATTAGATACTGTGGTGAATGAAGTTATAGTGGAATGGACATCTTTAGAGCCAGGAAGAACTTACAAAATTGATGAGATGAAGACATTTTTCGGAGAGTCGGAGGAGCAGGTTAATCAAAGCAGCCATCTGCACAGGTAGGTATTATCTATGTTATGAGTATGAATAAATCTTTACATAATAATACAACAACCTTGAAATGAATTTACAACAACCTTGACATGAATTAAACAAAAACCTTGACATCAATATACAAAAGCCTTGACATAAATATGCAACAACCTTGACATAAATATTCATCAATCTTGACATAAATATACTACAACCTTGATGTAAATGGACAACAACATTGACATAAATAAACAACAACCTTAACATAAATATGCAACAACCTTGACATAAATATACAACAATTTTGACATAATACACAACTGCTTTGACATAAATATATACCACAACCTTGACAGGGATATACAAAAACTTTGACATGGGTATACAATACTTTTGGCAGAGGTATTCTTCCTTTGCATCTGTGTTCAGACTTATATCTCAGTCATACAGAGTTATGCTACATGTGGCAAATATGGTTACTTTACTTTATACTTGTATTTGATTCAGATTACCTGTAGAGATTATAAACACAACAGATGCTATAGAAACATTGCAGACAGTGTCAAGCGGACCTCCTCGAGACAAGGTTTGTATTATCTACCTGTTAACTTTTATATCTATATTTAATGGTGTCTTGATGACTGTGTTCCAGTATTACATTATATAGATAGATACATTATACATGTATATCTAAATGGTAAATGATAAAGCCAACTTCTTTGTTAGTAATAATACATCTTTAATGAAGTTGAACTGTTCAATATTATTCAGAAGTCCCTGTGTTTGTCGGTATATCGGAACATGAAACTGGTTGATGAATACTGGCTCAAATATGGAAACTACAATGTGTCTGTCGAAGCCTCAAATAAAAAAGCAAAATTTTTGCTGAAGTATCCGAAATGCCAAGTAAGTTTCTTATTATAATTGTATCAAAATGACTTTGAGTAATGTTATGTTGATAGAGTGTTTCATGCTATATATTTAGGCCTTAAGAAGATTTGTCTATTCATATAAAGATATTTGAAAATATTTGAACATTTAAAAAAGAGGAAGGAATTGTTGCATAATATCCAAATTTTGTGTGTCCATGCACCTGTACACTAAATTATGATCTTGACATAGTTGTTCCTCTTTTATTGAGAATATTCTGTAAATATATATCTACTTGTTTTCAAAAACCTTATTGTGTACCCTTTTGATTTACATATTAAAAAGTGTATAAAATAACACTCAACACTTACCTCTTCAAAAGGCCCCAAAAGAGTACAGCACAGCTGAAGCCTAAGATCCTGTACAACTATATTCTTATATTTTACCAATATTTTCAGAGTTTCACATACCCAAGGGGCTTTCAGAAAGGAATGAAGTTTGTTATCTACCTGGATAGGTAAGAATTATGAATGAAGAAAAATATGAATAACTAAATGATGTTTATATTCTGATCATTATACAATGGATAGAGGATATTGAATGAATGTAGATTTAATATTAAATTTATTGAAACATTTGGATGAAATCTTATTATGTGAGCATATGGCTAGCATAGTATTGCTTTTTTCAATAAGCTCAATTAATGATCAAATCTACATGAATATAATATTGTATTTACCAGTAATGTATATCCAAAATAAGAATGGTTTACCATTAAAAAAAAGGTGCGTTGATAGTGTAATACTGACAATAGTGCACTTAAATGAGCTATGTTTGTATATAAATCAAATGATGTCACATCAAATTATTACACTAGTGTAAATCATTTTTTTTTAAATGGCTTTATTTTAAGAGTATATTCCATAACATTATTTTCATTTTCTTTTTTGGAAAAACAGACAGTCATAAAGTCTCTTTTAGTGTTGTTTTTCCTATTCACTGAAAACTAGCAAATAGATCTTTCAACTACATTTTGAACAATATGTGGCTGTAAAAACATTTCAGTGAGAAGGCATTTGCAGAATGTGTTGTGGTTGAGGTATACCCAGGCGGGAAAAGTTTGGCTCTTGAGTACTCCCCTAAGGATCGAACATCAAACTTGACTGTTTGTGTGATGACAACATCATCTGCGTTCAGTTTCTCGGAATATGACAATGATCAGTCTGTAGTCATTCCTTATGAAACAAGAAGTGAGTTTTTTTTTTTATGAGTTCAATTTTGCAATTTTCATTTGTTTTTAGCTCACCTTGCACAAAGTGCAGGTGAGCTTTTAGGATGGCCAACCAAATGGCGTCCGTCGTCCGGTGTCCGTCCACATTTTATTCAGATGACATCTTCTACAATACCACTTGGCCAATATAAATGAAACTTGGCAGGAATACTCATTGTATGAAGCTCTATCAAGATTGTTCAAAAAAGAATTGCCATTTCCATGCTAAACTCTGGGTTGCTTATTATGGCAACTAAAAGAAAAAACTTAAAAGTTCTTATACTTCAAAATGGAAAGGGCTAGAGCTTAGATATTTCTCACAAGCATTAGCTTGTTAGTTCCTACAAAGTATATTCAAATTATGGTCTAAAGCTGAAAATTGGTCTCTATTTGGGAGTTAAAGGGTTTTTTTATTGCAAGGGGTTTTATAGACTTTCTTTGTAGGGATAAATTGAGACAGTGTATCTTGTATTATTTGTCTCACAGACATTGTTATGAAGATTTTTCTTTTAAAGCCATAAGAAGGATGAAAAGTTTGTTGAATGTGAATTGTTTAATTCAAAACAGAGTCGATCAGAATTAGCACAAATTTTTGAGAGCTACAGTGAAGTTGATGATTTCCCCATTCAATAATGGATTTTTCCCATTAATTTCGTAATATCATCAGAAAGGGAAGACTCTGTCATTTCCGAAATACAATTGTAAAATATTTCGGTTCTTGACAATGACTGGGCACATTTTATTGTGTATGAAATTGCACAAAGAAACGAAAGTGAACAAAAAATGTTGTTTTTTCCACAAAAATTAGTTGATTAAGATAAAAGTTTAATTTACAGTACGGATATTACATTTTTTGTCCTTTCGGTTTGCGGGAAAATCATATAGCAGCTAGCTACACCGCAACCTACTGATGACGAAATTATGTCATAATATTTTATTCTGAGAACAACATACGATTCGAATAATCAAATAATGCATATCAAATCAAATCAAACCCAACAATTTTGCCTCAGAAAACATCTGTATCAATCTGACTCGAGTTGAGATTATAAATTATACTAAACCGGAGGTACATGACGAAACGTCCGCCATAAAGAAAATTGAGAAATTTTTGTAACATAAACTCGTATTTCACAACAAAGAAGTGAAGATGAATACAATTATCGGTGTGCTTCGTTGAAACAGGTATTTTGTTAACTATTTGTTAAGTATTAAGGCATGACATTCTGTATTTATGTAAATATCACTTCCCGACGTCCTGTGTTATGATTTATAAAATTATAGACACATGTGTTATTGACCTCAATAAATGTTAGTGAAAATGGAAAAATAATTATGGTAATTATCCATGGTGCTAGTTATTATCTTTATCATTTTGTTAACTAAGCAAGAAAAATACGTAATTTTAAAATAACTTAACCTCACAATATTATCAATTTATACTTGAAAATCTTCTCAAACAGTAATTTTTGAATTCATTATTGAAACATGAAAATGGTTCATGAAGAGATTAAAGAGAGGAAAAAACTGAAATGACTCATGAAAATTTTGGTCAAACAGTCTGCCACGTGAAATTTTTACCTTCCTGAGATCCCTGCTAATTGTTGTTTGTTGTTCTTTTTTAAGAAAGGGTGTTCTAAATTATGATAAACCACAGATGCTTGGGCCAACATGATACCCCTGAGTAAACACTATCAAAAAATATTTTGATATTTAAACACTAATGGGATATCTATTACAACTATAATACTGGTTTTCGAAAAAAAAAAATCATATATGAAAAAAAAAATTCTGTTTATCATCCTGTATTTAGGCTTGATTCTGGGCAGGCAGGCGAATTTGTTGGGCTATTTTTCGTAACAGTTTTCTCAGCAACTACTTATCAGAGCCTCATGATATTTAGTATGCAGCATTAACACATTGTCCAATACCATGAAATTCGATTTAAGGTCTGTCGCTCATCCACTTCATGTTAACTGACTTAGTTAAATTCATAATAATGGTCAATATGGTACGAATATTTCGTAACAATTTTCTCATTAGTTTAATTCATAATAATGGTAAATGGTACGAATTTTTTGTAACAATTTTCTCAGCAACTACTTATTACAGCCTCTTGATGTTTGGTATACAACATTGATATGATTTCAGGTATGTGGCTCATCCACTTTCAGTTTCCTGACCTAGTGAAATTTTCAGCATTAATTGTAAATGGAAGGAAATTTCCGTAACAGTTTTCTTAGCAACTACATATCACAGCCTCTTGAAATTTGGTATTGTGACTGCAAAGTTCAGGTCTATCGCTTATCTTCTTCCTGTTTACCGACTTGGTTAAATGTTCGATATGAATGGTCATTGGTAGGAAATTTTTGTAACATCACAGCCTCATGAGTCATGTTATTTGGTATACAAATGCAACCTGGCCATTTTTGTCTTTGACCCATTTTTATTGAAGTATTATCCAAATTTGTACTTCGTCTTGTTAATTATGATGTCATTGTTAAAATTTTCATGATGTAAACACGCCACAGGGAGTGTATTTTTTAGCAACCTGTACATTAAAGAAAAGAAAAAAGAGGTATTTCTATACACTTGTTTGCATTCCTGTTGCTGTCGGCCAAAAATACATTACATTTGACACTAACCTTTAAATGACATTAAAGAATTTTTTAAACCTGTTGTTTTTTTTTTTAAAAAGGAAAATACTTTATAAGATCTATTCCTAAGGTGAGCGATATAGCGTCATCATGGCCCTCTTGTTATTCTCTAGACAGAGCAATATAATTTTACCATTAAAGCAGCATGCCTTTAGATTTGTGCTTATTTTCATGATTTAGCCGAGGCAAATTTTCCCTTTCCCAAAACTTAAAAAGGTTGATATCTTGTCGTCAATACAAATCCTGACAGCAGACTCTTTGTACAGTCATCAGTTTGTGCCTCAGAGGTATACCATTGATACTGCTTTTTCTTGGTTTTGCAGGCTTGTCTGGCTTTATGTTTAGTGATGACATAAATCTTTTATTATCCTGAAGATCAAAGCATACTACTTGTACATACTTTCATCTGTTTCAGACACGCCATCAAATCTCACCAGGACGTTTGTCAATGCTCCACCATACCTTCTATCTGAGGTAAAACCAAAACATACAAGTTGCTCTTACAATTTATTTTTCTCTATAAAAGTTAAGTCAGAGTAATACTGTTTAGATTATATGACACAGTCTATGTTGTTGTTGTTTTAGCGATCAGGTAGTACTGTTTAAGTCCAATATGTTCATATGGTATTTATTCAAGCACTAACAATGTCTGGTTTGAGTCTCTGGTGTTTAATACAAAAGTGATGATGATGATGATGATAATGGTGATGATGATGAAGAAAAAGCATCATGATGATGACCATGATGATTAGTTAATGATTATTGTTATTACATGTACATTGTATTTCATTTTGGATTTTTTGTTGAGGAGTCGCTCTGAAGGTTAGGCTTATCATTAAGTCTAACTTTGGGAAGAATTGGTACTTTTGTTGTAAAGATGTTATTACTCTACAGAAGTTTCACTGTTTTGTTATCACTATTATTTTAACTATAAATTTTCATTTAGATGTGTTCATACACAATTGCTAAGTGAAGGACATATTAAATTTTGAAGAACTTGTTTACAGGGAGCAAAGAAGGCATTGCCAGCATTGTACCCTGAGTGGAAGGCCAACATGCTGAAATCCATGGCTGATTGTTCACAGGTGTTTACCAGATTAACAGGTAAATTCACAATAACAATATTTATGTTAACTTCAGACAAACAATATTAAAACAACACTACAACACATTTCACATAATATTGACATTAAATAAGCATAATATTCCTTTATTCAATGAGCTCAATTAATTAAGTATTGAATCTACATGTATATAATATTATATTTATCGCATATCCAAAATAAGAATGCTTTACCATTAAAAAGTAGGTGCGTTGATAGTGTAATGCTAACAATAGTGTGCTTAAATGAGCTATGTTTGTATGTTTGTAAAGCAAACTGATGTCACTTCATATGTTTATTGCATGTTAGCCAAATGTGTCAAATTTCGTATCCAACCCTCAAATAGAGAATAGGGATACATTCAATGCGTATTTAACATTTGACCTCTAGTTACCAAAAGTTATTAGCCTTTACCACCAGTATAGACCCAAACAAGTCTGCACAGATGTATTATCTGCCCAATGTTGTATACTTTTCATAGCTTTTTAGCTCACCTGAGCTTGCTCAGGGTGAGCTTTTAGGATCGGTGAATGTCCGTCGTCCGTCGTCCGTCGTCCGTCGTCCGTCCGGCCGTCCACAATTACTTGTGAACACTCTAGCGGTCGCATTTTTGCCTCAATCATCATCAAACTTGGTCAGGATGCTTATCTAGTTGAAAGCTCGGATGAGTTCGAACATGGGTCATCTCGGATGAAAAACTAGGTCACAAGAGCTAAAAATAGAAAAACCTTGTGAACACTCTAGAGGTCACATTTTTGACCCAATCATCATCAAACTTGGTCAGGATGTTTGTCTAGGTGATAGCTTGGATGAGTTCGAACATGGGTCATCTCGGATGAAAAAGTAGGTCACAGGAGCTATAAATAGAAAAACCTTGTGAACACTCTAGTGGTCACATTTTTGAACCAATCATCATCAAACTCGGTCAGAATGCTTGTCTAGTCAATTGCTTGGATGAGTTCGAACATGGGTCATCTCTGATGAAAAACTAGGTCACAGGAGCTAAAAATAGAAAAATCTTGTGAACACTCTAGTGGTCACATTTTTGACCCAATCATCATCAAACTTTGTCAGGATGCTTGTTTAGATAATAGCTCGGATGAGTTCGAATATGGGTCATCTCTGATGAAAAACTAGGTCACCGGAGCTATAAATAGAAAAACCTTGTGAACACTCTAGTGGTCACATTTTTGCATCAATCATCATCAAACTTGGTCAGGATGCTTATCTAGTTGATAGCTTGGATGAGTTCGAACATGGGTCATCTCGGATGAAAAAGTAGGTCACCAGAGCTAAAAATAGAAAAACCTTGTTAACACTTTAGCGGTCACATTTTTGCATCAATCATCATCAAACTTGGTCAGGATGCTTATCTAGTTGATAGCTTGGATGAGTTCGAACATGGGTCATCTCGGATGAAAAAGTAGGTCACCAGAGCTAAAAATAGAAAAACCTTGTTAACACTTTAGCGGTCACATTTTTGCATCAATCATCATCAAAACTTGATCAAGATGCTTGTCTAGGTGATAGCTCGGATGAGTTCGAACATGGGTCATCTCGGATGAAAAACTAGGTCACAGGAGCTAAAAATAGAAAAACCTTGTTAACACTCTAGTGGTCACAATTTTGACTCAATTGTCATCAAACTTGGTCAGGAAACTTGTCTAGGTCATTGCTGGGAATAAATCGAACATGGGACATTTCGGATGAAAAACTAGGTCACAGGAGCTAAAAATAGAAAAAATCTTGTTAACACTCTAGTGGCTACTGTTGTGATCCAAATATTCTGTTAATTGGTCTGAAAGTTTGTTTTGATGATTTCTAAGTCAAGATCGAACATGGGTCATCTTGGATGAAAAACTAGGTCACACCGCCCAAATATGGAAAACCTTGTTAACATTCTAGTGGTCACATTTTCGACTCAATTATCATCAAACTTGGTCAGGATGTTTGTCTAGGTAATTGCTTGGATGAGTTCGAAATCGCATGTGAAACTAGGTCACCGGAGCTAAAATAGAAAAATCTTGTTAACACTCTAGTTGCTACTGTTTTGATCAAGTATCTGGAAATTGGTCTGAAAGTTTGTTTTGATGATTTCTAGGTCAAGTTTGAATATGTGTCACCTGGGTAAAAAACTAGGTCGCACTGCTCAAATATGGATAATCCTTGTTAACACTGTAGTGGTCACATTTTTGACTCACCTGTCATGAGACTTGGTCAGAATGCTTGTCTAGGTAATTGTTTGGATGAGTTTGATAATTCAGGTGAGCGATCTAGGGCCATCATGGCCCTCTTGTTTGTGTTTTTATGCTGAAATCCTTTTAACTTTAACTTGACTGTCCCAAACTCAAAACTGGGCAAATCTATTACTCAAAGTCAGTAGGATAAGGTCTAAAGTTTAAAATACTTCAGTGAGTACACACAGTTACTTTAATTGATTTCAGTGCAGGAACACAACATTGCCCAGGCAGCAAAGAACTTGATGCATTGGTACCCAGAGAGTTACAATGGGCACTTGTTTACGTTCTTACCGAGTCAGTTAACCCAGTCAAAACTGGTTTATCCTCAACCAGAACAGATGTTCTCCAATGTGTCCGTCCATAGACTGTGTTTTGCCGAGAGTAAGTATGTTTTCTTATATCTGAAATGGCAACATTAGCAGTGGTTTTTCAAACTTAATTGGGAGGGGGCATAATTAAGCCACTTAATTTTGGGATGAAAATATTGTAAAAATTGCTTATTTGGGAAGAAAACTTTTGTTTAAGTCCAGATTTTTGGGAAAACTGCATGATTTTAAAGAAAATTTTGATAAGGAAGAGGCCTTTTATAGACCTCTGTTTTAAAAAGGTGAAAAATCACTGAATAGATTCATTTATTTTTAAAAGTTCTTGATTCACATGCACCATATAGACAAAAACGAGTAAAACACAAAAACCAGAATGAATGGTTCACAGATGAAACCATTCATTCTGGTTTTTGTGAAACCAAAGAAAACAGAAGAATTCAAATACTGGAGATCACAAGTTAAAATACTATCCCATCATTCAAAAAAAGACTTCTTTAATCAAGAAATAAATTCACAGAATAAAAATCCTAAAAAATTATGGAAGAACCTAAAAGCACTATCTGGCAAAACTGACAACTTCCAAACAAACTATATAAATGATGACAATGGAAATCCAGTCTCTGACCCAAAAGAAACAGCAGAAATATTCAATACTTTCTTTTCAAACGTATTTAAAAAATCAGGAAATATTTCAGCACTGAATAAAGCAAATGAATCTATATTAAAAGAAATGTTAGAAGGTAAAGTTAACTTAGATATTCCAGAATTTGTGATACCACCAATTGAACCGGATCATGTTAAAAAAACATTAGACTCACTTGATGTCAAAAAGGCCACTGGGCTCGATGGAATCAGTGGTAGATTTCTAAAAACTGCATCTTCTGTAATATATAGACCTTTATCTACTATTATCAATTTAAGTATTCAAACAGGAAAGTTTCCTACCAAATTAAAACAATCAAAAGTTACACCCATTTATAAAAAAGGACAAAATTCTGATAAAAATAATTACCGACCAATATCTGTACTTCCACTCATTTCTAAAATATTTGAAAAGCACGTATCTGACCATCTAAAACAATTTCTAGAAACTCATAAGTTTATTTTTAAGGCCCAGTCAGGATTCAGAACCAAGCACTCTTGTGAAACAGCATTAACAAACATAGTTGACAATTGGATAAATGCAATAAATGATGGAGAACTAGTTGGCACAATTTTTCTTGACCTAACCAAAGCATTTGACCTTGTAAACCATAAAATTCTTATTCAGAAACTGCATTATTACCATTGTTCTTATCATACAATTAAATGGTTTTCATCTTATCTTGCAAACAGAACACAGAAAGTCAGTGTATCAGGTAAACTGTCAGAATCTGCAGAAGTTATATCAGGTGTTCCCCAAGGATCTGTCCTTGGGCCCCTGCTTTTCATTATATACATCAATGATCTCCCACTTCATTTAGAGACCTCAGAAATAGACATGTTTGCAGATGACACCACACTTACAGCATCAGGACATTCACCACAAGAACTACATGATAAACTTCAAACCAACCTCAAACATGTAAACAAATGGTGCATACAAAATGCAATGGTGTTAAATACACAGAAAACAAAGGCAATGCACCTTACATCAAATAATACACAGCTTCATTTACCACCTTTACACCTTCAAGATCAAATGATCCAATTTTCTGAAACCGAAAAGTTACTAGGTGTTTTTGTCGATAGTAAACTAAAATGGAAAATCCAAATAGAAATGATACTTAAAAAATGCAACTCTCAGTTATACCTACTTCTCAGAATCAAGCAATACCTAGACTTACATGCAAGAAAACTATTCTTTAAATCATACATATTACCACACCTAGATAATTGCTGTACTATCTGGGGCAATTGCAGCAATGATCTGATCAATGAAATCATAAAATTCCAAAAAAGAGCAGCAAGAATAATTCTAGATAAAAGTTACGATGCACCCTCCAGTGATTTGTTTAAAGAACTAAATTGGATGAGATTTGATGACAGAATGATATACAAAAAAGCAATCATAATGTTTAAATCTATCAATGACATACCATATCCACAATACATGCAAAGTAAATTCCAATTTGTTTACCAAAAACATGAGCGCAACTTAAGATCTACAAATAGTTCAGACCTAGCTGTTCCACGACCTAAGAAAGAATTTTTCAGAAAATCCCTAGTATACTCTAGCCCTAAATTATGGAATAATATCCCTCTTAACATAAGAAAATCTAAAACAGTTCAGGAATTTCAAGCTTCATATCTATCCTGGCATTTTTCATCATTAAATTAATCATTTTATAACAAAATTAGAATCTAATCATTTGATGTACCACCTAAAACATATTTCACACTTCGTTTAATTTGATATGTACTTCTTTGACATGTATTATGCTATGAATGAACTGTAAATCTTTAACATGTATTTCTAGTTCTGATAATTTCAATGTACATTGTACCACAATGTTGTTGCAATTATTTCTGTAATATTGTAGTTGTTTATATTGTAAATTATGTTTTTCTTAGAGGCCCACATGGAAGATTGGGAAACCAAATGTGTAGCCTCGATAAATAAAGCCTTTACTTACTTACTTACTTACTTACTTACTATTGCCAGTATCTTGCAAGGAACTTTTGATCTTACAAAAACTTTTGATTCTTTTGTGCAAGGAAGCTATTAATCTAGCTTTAAGAAGGTGGGTGATTCAACCTCTTGTATCTGAAATTACTATAATATCCAATACAAGACTTAAAAACCCAGGAATAACAAAAATTAGTTTGCAGCACTTGTTTATTTTTTTATAAATTTTGTTCAATAAAATATGTCAAATGCCATTTGTTGTGTAAAATATGCAGACTGGTTTCAAGTGATTTATGTGGAGAAGTTAACAGTACCTTGTGGAAAAAGTTGGTTTAATTCTTGTGGAGTTCCTTCAAAAGTTACATGATAAATTACATTTTCTAAATTCTAATTTTTTATGCCTTCCAGATGAACTGTTGCTGTCCTCAGGTTACCATGATCAAACCTTGTTTGAGATGCCGCTAAAATTAGCCTTACATTATGTAGACATTCCTGGTATACCTCCGGATAAATCTTTACCAGTGGACGTCCTATTTGGAGAAGGTCTGAACGTGTGGACCTATGTTGCTCTAATAGCCACCAAGGTATGTATATCTGGTTAACAAATACAGCATATAGTTTATAAAGCTGGAAGATCCATGTTCAGATCCTACTGCAGACTTTAGATTTTTTTCTGATACTTACAATGTTTATTCAAAATTTGCTGAGATAGCCCTAGGGCTTGGGAATGGTACCATGCATTAAGAACAGTCCTCTATGAACAGGCTTAAAGCCACCCTGCTGTATTTTCAATTTGGTCTTATATACTCATATTGGGTAACCATAGAGAATAAGCATGAGTAGCCTTAGTCACCAGTATAGAGCCAGGCAAGCCTACACATGCATGTTGTCCAACCAGGCTCTATACTGTTGGCTGCCTATTTTTGTCTTGTTATCCTCAAAACTGATATTGGACAGTTCCAAAAATTGATGAGATTGACAAGTCCATTAAAGAAATTGGGTAGGTTATTTAAGAAATTAGGTAGGTTGAATTTAAGGTAAATCAAAAACTTGACTTATTTCAGCTGTACCTGCCTTCTTATAAGAAGATGATACCTGATGACTCTGGAAAATTTTCACGTGAGCAAATAGAACAGGTTTTATACAACATGCTGCAGACATATACCTCACTGTGTGGGATATATGCGGCATCATGGGGTGGCATACAGTACTCTCAGATGAGCGAAGTTCGCGACGTACGTAGAGCTATTCAACACGAGGATAAATATCTTGTGCAACTTACACAAGCTCAACAGTTTGACCCCCATGTGCTCATTCAAAAGGGAGATTTTGCAATCTGTAAAGCACATCTGATGAATTATGGGATTAGTGATAACGAAAATCTCTATTTCAAAGAAGAAGTAGAATTTAAGTATCAGTTCTTCGAGCCATATATTGATCATGTGACCTTATTTCTATGGTGTCACGAAGAGTTGAAGCAGCTACCAGAGGATTTTTTCAAGCGGTTTGCAAATTTGATACATTTCAAACTGGGAGAGTATGGTACAATTATGTCAAAGTTCAAGAAACTTCCGGAAGGCATTGGTGCAGCAAAGAAACTGAGGGTAAGTCAAAAAATGAATGAATATTTTGTAAATTTTATACCATTTATGATATCTATGTTAGTACATTGTACTTCATTTACCAAGGTTTTTTCAATGCCCATACAGGCCACACCCCATTCCAAAGTTTGGGAATTGCATATTATTTTTGTGGCATCTACTCATCCATACTTTGCGTCAGTTATTGATGGATTTTGAAATAATTTTGCATACCATGTGTAACATATTAGTATAAGACCCAAGGATCAAAGGTCAACATCACACTTTGACTTTCATGGAAATTTTTCATGCATAGATGTCTGTGTCCAGTCAACAATTCTGGCATTCCTGCACAGACTTTAAAATTTATTTGCATAGATGTTTTGGACAGTGCATTATTAGACTTGTCCTGTTCATATCTTTGCCATTCATTGACAAATTTTAAAATAGCTCCGCTTTTGTAAGTGGTACTTTAAAAGTGAAAACAGAGTTGCTGCTTAAAGGTCAAGGTCACACACTCTATATTAGACTTTTAAGCTAAGATTTCATAAAAGTGCATTGATGGTCATGTTCAGCTATCACTCCTGTCATTCATGGATGGATTTTGAAATAACTAGAGATAATTTGGTGACATATTGTGAAGAATTGTCAGGAGCAGATCCCAGTTTGACAGTTAAAAAGGTGAAGGTTATACTTGTCAAGACTGTCATATGTGACTTTCCAAGGGACCTTCAGAAAAAGGTCACATATGACAGGGAGTCTCTTAATACAGTCTCATAGAAAAATAAAATTTAAATACCAATTATCTGTCTATATACCATTGTGACTTAACATATTTATAACTGTGTGAAGGAATAATATCGGTACTTAAAATAGTTGATGTAAATAAAATGAGAATCCTTGTAAAGCGAATATAATCGCATGTATATCAAATAAAATTTTATTTTATTTTTTTGTATTAGATTTATATTGAATCATTATGGTTCAAAATAAACTTGAATTTGATGCATTCAAATCCATAAAACAAATATCATACTTTTAAATACATATCCATATCCAAAGGTTTTTATAGTCTAGTATCAACATTTTTCGTATTATTCATGCAGCCATAGAAAGGTTAATTAAAAAAAATGCTGCCTAAAAAATCATCCTTTGGCACTCCATAATTTTTAAAACACAAGTGTTAATCCAGTTACTCAGGTCATTATGTTCATTACATCTGTGACCTCAATTTGTTAACACACATAGATTGCATCATGCTTACCATATTTGGCAGTAGGTCGTGGACGCCACGTCACTTGATACCTGTATACATGTTATTCATGTAATTGAGGCAGAGGTGTGAAGAGCTTGTTTGAAGAGTACTGACTACTGGATTATAATTGGACTTAATTATTTTGTCCCTCTGTGTGTTTAAACAGGTATTATTTATCTGATTAACGGACAATTAAAAGGTGTGAAAGTCGTTTACATCAGACAATGCAATGCATTGGGACCAGACAATTAGGGTCGCTTGTCACATGTGACAGGGAGTCGTATAATTCAGACCATTTATATAGGAAAATTCGTTGGGAGGACTGAAACAAGGCCGGATAAGAGAGGGAGTTGTTGAAATCAGAGGGTTGCTAAGGCAGTCTTGACTGTACTTGTCAAAATAGTATATTGATGGGTTTTTTTCTGGTCTTGTTTCCGATTAAATGAATTTTAATATTCTATTACATTTTACTGCTAACTTCTAATATTTATGTTTTGTGACATGAAAGAGTTTGTAAAACTCTTTATTTTTTATTTTTCAGTATGTTGAAATATATGATGTTGCCATGGAGAAACTGCCAGATGACATCTTCATGGGGAAAAACGTTGAAACATTGCTGTGTTCGAACATTCCGGTGAAAACATTACCAACACAGTGGCCAACAGAGAGCAAGGTGATAATAACATTTCCTAATTAAAAATAACATTTCCTAATTAAAATTAACATTTCCTAATTGATATAAACATTTCCTAATTGATTAATTAAGGTCTTGCTTGAATTAAGGTGTTGCTTGAGTCAAGATGACTCTGCATGTCAACTTTGTCCCCCCATTGAACTGAATTATTGTTGAGAGGAATTCTGAAGTACTCACTTGCCTTTACATTATAAGTGCATAATCCCTGTTTAGAGCATTAGATTTTAAAGATTTTCAAAGGATTTATTGACATTGTCTGTTAAGAAAATTGATTTATAAAAACAGTTAAATTTCCTTTTTATTTGATGCATTTTATATTATCATGTGATATACTGTGTGCAAGTGATATATTGTAATATAAAAAGACATCTCATCTTTGAAAACAAGCATTTAGTAAGTAATTTAAAATAAAATGCTTATTAATTTGGAAGGCTTTGAACATCAATACATTTCTGTTTGAAGTACCCCAGCTGATATACATGTATGTAAGAAATTCAAATTTTATGTTTTTAGGCTTTTGGATCACAGTGGAGTTCTCTTAACATTTACTGTGCTTCATAAGTAGGGTTAATGGTTATTTTTGTCTTATTTCAGCTGAGTAAACTCTCGTTATGTGGGCTGTTGATTGACAAGTTACCGGAGGAGATAGGTCAACTGAGTGAGTTAAAGGAGTTTGACCTTTGTCGTAATCCAATCACTGATCTTCCTGGTGCTCTACAGAAACTGAAAAAACTCACGTTTCTTAGTTTACAAGGTAAAGAAATGTTATAAGGTCCGACAACAACAGGTAAATTATATCTTCAAAATATATGTATGCCTTTCGTTTGATAGCTTCATCAGAATGATAATAATCTATCTAAAAGATATCAGAAACTTACGGGATACTAATAAAATGAAAGATGTACCACAATACGTATTCATATACCTGGAACTACACGAAAGTAATCGTGAATGCTGTATAAATGGGAAGCATTCAACACTTACCTATGCAATGCTATAGTATGCTATGTTATGCTGTTCTATGCTATGCTATTCTGTTCTGTGCCATTCTATGCTTTTTATACTATCCTGTTCTATAACTAACTTGTGTTAAATATATGATTTGCTGTGTATTCTTGGAATTAGGTTGCCCACTGCTTATTCTTGAAGGGAAACGTACATCAGTTCGTACAACGCACCAACAGTTTGAGCACTGGTATAGTCAGAACCCTTACATTCGTTATATGCTTGGATTCGATGTAAGTCTTTTGCTGCTTTATTTCTCATTCACCCATTTATTTGGATTTTCGAAAAAGGGGGGGGGGGTGAGGATTTTGATCCCTTGGTGGGAGATTCAGAAACATGGTGGAAAACTGGGGATTTTGTCCCCTTGGCAGGGAATATGGCATGTATGATTCGCCTGCTTAGCTCATATTAGAATGCATTGAATTTGTAATGCAGGGATGCTTGTTTGATCCTCTTAATTGCAATTTCTCTGTGACAAGTGATCTCTCAGTCTAATGATGATTTGAGCCGCGTCACGACAAAACCAACATTGTGCGTTTGCGACCAGCATGGATCCAGACCAGCCTGCGCATCTGCGCAGTCTGATCAAGATCCATGCTGTTCGCTAACCAACTCTATTACAAGTAGAGAAACTGATAGCGAACAGCATGGATCCTGATTAGACTGTGTGGAAGTGCAGGCTGGTCTGGATCCATGCTGGCCGCAAATGCATTACGTTGGTTTTGCACCAAAGTGCTTAACTTTGCAGAATGGTGTTTGTTAATTTTTTAAAAAGCAAGCGGAGAATAGCTATGTATAGTCATGGCTAAACCCTATTTGAAATAGTTGTTGAATAATTTGTTATTGTAAAATAGTTATTGAATTATTGATTATTGATAAATAATTCTCGAATAATTGGTTATTATAAAATAGCTGTTGAATCATTGGTTGTTATGAAATAGTTGTTGAATACATGTAACTGGTTAGTGTCAAATAGTCATGGAATTATTGGAAAATAGTTGTGAAATAATTGGTGAACAAAGTATCACTCTGCAGAATTTGCTCTGTAGCTGAAAACAAAAACCAAAGCAAGAAAATTAAACTGCAAAAGAGATTAAAAAAAAGATTAAAAAAAATGTAAAAATACCTTTTAATTTTCTATTTTAACAAAACTTAATATTGATTGTTGCATTGGAACTCATCAAATATAAAATTAGTGGATACTTATTGAGTGTTTTTTTGCCAGGACAAAGACAAGCTTTTTGGTGTATTTGATGCAAATCACAATGGAAGTCTGGATGAAGAGGAGATTGCAGCGCTAAATTTAGAATTCTTTTTCAAAGTTCCTCGTCTTGGTATTACAGACATAAGTGAGTAGTCTTTGGGCTTAATAATGCAATAATAATAAAGAAATAATGGAAAGTAATGCAACTTTGTAAGTTGGTTCAAATATAATTTCTGTAACAAGGAGTTGTTATGGTGGTGTTGGTAGTTTTCACTCCGGATCATGGCAAAAATAAAAAATCTACTCATCTTGGCTTTACAGTTATAATAGATCCTTAAATGTAAGTTATTGCTGTTGTTGCTGCTGCTGCATTTTGTTGTGTCATCAACAGTGTACATTATATGTGATCATGAACTCAATGCTACTTTTGTTAAAAAAAATTTTATTAAGCATCGCAAAAAATAAGCTGATTAAGTCTTTGTTCTTATTTCTTTTATGTGTATGAATTAAAAATGACAGATTTGTTCTATTTTTAGATGATGAGGTGACTGGTGGTATACCTCCTGTGGTTTTCAATTTGAAGAGTCTTGTTGAACTTCATTTGGAATACAACGCCATCACTATGGTACCACAGGCTATCAACAACCTGTCAAACTTGAAACTGTTGGGTCTCAGTCATAACCCACTGTTAGAGTCCCTGCCAGGATCTCTTGGACATTTGCCAAATATTCAAAGTAAGTTGATTTTAGTCAACTCCTTATTTGCATGGGATTGTCAAAGGGTAAAAAAAATATGCAGCCTGACCGGGACTCAAACCCTGGACCCCCTGAATATCATACCGCGGCTCTACTGACTAACATATCCGGCCGCTTACACACTATCTCCCCTAAAGGTCTGAACTGTGACAGAATCACTCTCACAAGTTATTTTAAATCATTTCCTTTCCATTTCGTAAACAAAGATAGTCAGTAATCTGCATAAGTATTGCAAAAATGGGTTTCTGTATGGAATATTTAAATATGATTTTGTATAACATGGATTTTTTCTTAATAAGTTGGCAATTTAATCCCATGGGGTATTTTTTTAATGGAAAGTGTACAATCCAGAGGAGGAAAAACTCCCATGGGATAATTTATTAATGGAGAGAGTACTACCTGGAGGAGGAAAAACTAACATGGGATTATTTATAAATGGAAAGAGTACTACCCAGAGAAGGACACACTCCCATGGGATTATTTATTAATGGAAAAAGTACTACCCAGAGAAAGACACACTCCCATTGGATTATTTATTAATTGAGAGAGCACTACCCGAAGGAGGAAAAACTCCTATGGGATTTTTTATTAAAACCCAAAGAAGGAAAACCTCCCATTGGATTATTTATTAATGGAGAGGAGGAAAATCTCCCATTAAATCCAGAGGAGAAAAAAATCCCATGGGATTATTTATTATTCCCAA